AGAGAGGCAGAGACACAGGCAGAGGGAGAAGCAGGCTCCCTACGGAGAGCCCGATCTGGGACTCCATCCGGATCCCGGGACTCCAGGATCATGCCCTGGGCTGAAGGCAAGCCCTAAACTGCTGAGCCACCCAGGTGTACGTACCCATGGATATTTTTTATTTTATTTTTTATTTTTTTTTTAAGATTTTATTCATTTATTGAGACAGAGAGAGAGGCAGAGGGAGAAGCAGGCTCCATGCAGGGAGCCCGACGTGGGACTTGATCCCAGGTCCCCAGGATCACACCCCAGGCTGCAGGTGGCGCCAAACCACTGCGCCACCAGGGCTGCCCTCCATGGATATTTTTTAAATAAATGATAGGAACAGAGTTCTTGTTTGTTCTCAGCTGCATCTCCCGTGTCCAGACATAGCTTAGCACAGGTTAGTAGGTTTTCGACCAATATTTATTGAAGGGATGGATGGAGTAATTACCTGGGAATGACATCGTTTGCTAGTAAATAATAAGTGATAAAAACCCAGAGGCGGAAGTGGTGTGGATGCTGGGTTTTCTGAGAAAACCCATAGTTAACAGCTACTGAGCTCATTTAGGCCTCAAACACTGTGTGAGGGGCTCACTCTGCACCATTTTATCTCAGGAATCCTAGAAGGTGGGTGCTATTGTGTGACCCATTATACAGAAAAGGAAATAGAGGCACAGAGAAGGCAAGCTACTGACCCACGTTCACACAGCTGTCAGCAGAGGCGGCAGCTGGTTCTGAAGCTTGATCTCACAACTTTTCCTGTATGTATTTACATCTTAAAGGGAAAAACTTTAAAAAACACAATGATTTCAGGATCCCTGGGTGGCTCAGTGGTTGAGCATCTGCCTTCAGCTCAGGGCGTGATCCCAGGGTCCTGGGATGGTTGGGCTCCCCATGGGGAGCCTGCTTCTCCCTCTGCCTGTGTCTCTGCCTTTCTCTGTCTCTCATGAATAAATAAATAAAATCTTAAAAAAAATAACACTGATTTCTTTAGCAGAAATACTTTTACCGTGAACATCTTTATCTTGAGCAAGGGGCCTGCAGGGACACACTTTTTTTTTTAAAAGATTTATTTATTTATGATAGAGAGAGAGAGAGAGAGAGAGAGAGAGAGAGAGAGAGGGAGAGGCAGAGACACAGGCAGAGGGAGAAGCAGGCTCCATGCCCGGAGCCCAACGTGGGACTCGATCCCGGGACTCCAGGATCATGCCCTGCGCCAAAGGCAGGCGCCAAACCGCTGAGCCACGCAGGGATCCCCCCCACCTTTTTTTTTTTTTTAAGATTTATTTTATTTATTTATTTATTTATTTATTTATTTATTTATTTATTTATGATAGACACACACAGAGAGAGAGGGAAACACTTTTGAGAGGAACATTGCTGGAGCACCTAAAATCACAGTGGGGTGAATGTGAGCGCTGAGGAGGGTATGGGGGAGCAAATTTTGCCACCCCAAGATATGCCTCTTTGGCATACTGATGATCTTAAGCTATTTGTTTTTAAGAAACTACAGACACAAGGGAAGCTCTGGAAACAGAATTTACCCTTTTGTAAGTGTGTTTTTGTCTCATTGTAAGAAAGTGGGGGATAGATGACTCTAAGTCTCTAGCAACTGTTATCAATAGAGACAGCATGGACTTAAATATATTTTTGTTCACTGTGTTTTCCCCATAACCTCCCATAAATGACTGCCTACGCCCTTACATCTTCTCTTGTCTTTAGCTGGAGATGGTATTTAAAGTGATGGCTTAGGCTATTGTGGGGAGTTACTCAGTTTTCCTGGGTCTCTCTCATGTATACAGACAGTATACACATTATTAAACTTTTTGTTTTGTTTTGTTTTTTTCCTACTAATCTGTCTCATGTCCACTTAATTTCTAGACCAGCAAAAAGAATCTTGCAGGGTAGAGGAGCATGTGATGAAGGGACACCACTTATGCCTCTGGATGTACCAGATCGAGGCCACTGCTCCAGTGTCAACTGTAGATGTTCCCTTTATGTACCACCTGATGTTGTACAGGTCCAAGTCCTGGGGACCCCACAGTTCTCAGTCTTGGGGAAGCATCAGCATCCCTTGGTTGCTTGCCAAAGAGGCATGTCCCCAGCCCCCCTCCTGGTGGGTGAATGAGAATCTCTAGAGGCAGGGCTAGAGAATCTGCATGTTTAACAAGGCCTCCTGGACTGGTCCTAAGGCCAGTGGCCACAGGCCACACATTGAGAAACTCCTCTAGGAAGGTAGTGAGCCAGTGCTGGATGGAAAAATCAGGTTTAGGATACAGGAAGCAAAGGCCCACCTCCACATTATGTTAAATGCTCCTGTTATTCATTGTCAGTTGAGGACCTGAGGTCTGGAGTGGGGGAGTGGTGAGGAGACAGAGCCGTTGGTGTTTTTACCTCTTCTCGGTGTCCTACAGCAACTGCAACCCAAAGAAGTGACAATTCAAGTGGGGTTCATTTTGTAAATTTTTCTTCTCATGTCCCAGTTTGCATCAGAATTCCCTTTTCCTGAAAGTGGCTTATAAACCGAGATTTCTGGGGACACCTGGGTGGCTTAGCGATTGAGTGTCTTCCTTTGGCTCAGGTCATGATCCCAGGGTCCAGGATCAAGTCCTGCACCAGGCTCCCCGCAGGGAGCTTGTTTCTCCCTCTGCCTGTGTCTCTGCCTCTCTCTCTGTCTCTTATGAATAAATAAATTTCAAAAAAATCTTTTTTTTAAGATTTTATTTATTCATAGAGACAGAGAGAGAGAGAGAGAGAGAGAGAGAGAGGCAGGTTCCATGCAAGAAGCCTGATGTGGGTCTCCAGGATCACCCCCTGGGCTGCAGGCTGCGCTAAACCGCTGCGCCACCAGGGCTGCCCTCAAAAAATCTTTAATAAACCCAGATTTCTGTTAGAGTCATTCCCCCTCCCTCCACCCCCCTGCCCTTACTTTGGTAACTTAAACCTTCTAAAAATGTATCAGTGTCAGGTTCCAGTGACTAATCCAGCCTGAAAGCAGGAAGGACAGGGGGTGAAGCATAATCCCCCCTAATCCGGTTATGAGCCGCCCACCCCTCTCTAGACTGTGTGCCTGTCTTGGTAAACTTTGGTTTGTGAGGCAGTGTGGAGGAAATCCTTGAAGCATATGGAGTGCCAAGTAGGTATTAAATTTTGGCCCTCGATCCCCCAAGAAAACTAGCAACTCAAAAGCAAGTCCAACTTGTCAGTGAAATCCAGAACTGTTTCTGTGTGCCTGACAATCTAAGAGCACTTTTAGGAAAGCATTCAGGGGCACCAGCAAAGAGGATTAGACAGGGGAGACTAACTCTCAAGAGAAAGATTTAGAAGAACCACTGCCCCCGCCAGGTTATCCAGCTGAGCACAGAAGCACTGGGGTTTTAATTCAGATTCACAAATACAACTAAATTGTCACCTAAGGATGATCAGCAACTATTTTTCACTTCGAAGCAAAGTGAAATAATAGACTTCAAGAACCTGCCAGCCCAAAGGACTGGGTTTTTGACTGATTGTTCTATCACAGTCTCCTTTTTTTTTAATTACACATTAAAAAAATATTTATTTATTCATGAGATACAGAGAGAGAGAGAGGCAGAGACACAGGCAGAGGGAGAAGCAGGCTCCATGGAGGGAGCCCAACGTGGGACTTGATCCCGGGTCTCCAGGATCACACCCTGGGCTGAAGGCGGCGCTAAACGGTTGGACCACCCGGGCTGCCCCCCAGTCCCCTTTTGACATGCGTCTGTACATAGCCTGCAATCTGCACCACAGACAGCGTCTGGACCCATCATAATGTTCCAGAAGATCTTTCCTACAACACTAGATTGGTGTTAGAGCTCCAGCAGATTGTATGTCAACTGTACTTCAACAAAATAGGTAAATTAATTAAAAAAAAAAAGTCTCGCTGACATGTTTATAGTCATACTGTGCAGAAGATGAGGGAGGGGGCACCTGGGTGGCTCAGTCGTTTAAGTGTCTGCCTTTGGCTCATGATCCTGGGGTCCTGGGATGGAGCCCCCTGTTCAGCTCAGTGGGAGTCTGCTTCTCCCTCTGCCCCTCCCCACTGCTCATGCACATGTGCTCTTTCTCTCTCAAATGAATAAATAAAATCTTAAAAAAATTAAAATAAAAAAGAACACGAGGGAGGAAGTACAAGCTGGGAATAAGAAAAATTGACAAGTCCTCTCTCCGTTCCTGCTGGTTCAGGACAAGCTCCTCAAGTAATGTGACATCATCCCTGCTGTGGCAGCAGGTAACACTCAACCGGGCACTTACTATATTATAGGAATGGTTCTCAGTACCCTAAAACATGATTGTCACAGCACTACAAGTAGTACTGAGGCAGGTCCTGTGATCATCTCGATTGTACTGATGAAGAAACAGTCACAGAGACGCTAAATGACTTTGCCCAAGGACACAGAGCTGGTCAGCGAGACAACTGGGGATCTGGACTCAGGCAGCCCGGGCACAGGGCCGCATCATTAACCATTATACCACACTGCCTTTTGTAAGATGACACAGCCGTGACAGGACATGACATGATACTCTAGAGCTCTTTGCACGGATAGAAAGATTTTTTGTGCTGCCTTTTGTGACCATATCTCAAGTTCAATCATCACTTGCACTGTTTCATTCAGGGACCCTTATTTCTCCCACTGGGAAAGATGCAACAGTTGACACCTGAACAAATTGCCTTTAAGACTCAAGGTATGGGTGTCCTTGGAATTTGTGTTGTGACTTGAAACAGAGCCTTAGAAGTTGTCCAAACAGCTGAGAAACACGACTCAATTGCACTCTAAATTTATTCATCTGCTTCCACGCCTGAATCCCACGCCTGGATCCCTCCTCACATCGCCTTCGCTGGCCCTCCTCCTCAAGGGGATGAAGCTGGGTTGCTTTGCTAGTCCTTTCTTCTGATGCCTCCTTGTGAGGGCATGGCCCCCAGGACTTCAGTGAGAAAGGACTGCCTAATGGCATCAGTTTCATCTGCCAGTGGCAGGTGTGGAAACATTTGTTGCAGTGGCTGTGGGTGGCGCCAGTGTAGACTGCCTCAGCTCTCCACTTGCTGGAGGGTATTCGGCTAGGACGTAGAGGAAGCCACCTAGAGCTGCCACAGCCATGGCTGTGTTGTGGGAGGAGCAGCTATCTGGGGAGAGAGAGAGAGAGTCCTCCCTGTGAGAGCTGCATGGTGGCCACGGTTCCATTACGAGTGCTTTTTGGCTACTTCCCCAGCCAGCCAGATCTGGGCCAGGTGCCCAGCCACCAGCTGCTAGGAGTGCTGGCCACTGATGGCCCCCCTCTCCAGAGAGATGACCCCAGCCTATTGGGACCTCCTCGTTGGGGAGGTTATACCTTCTCCCAATGACTTACCAATACAGGACACACAAGCCCAGCCTCCCATGTCAGCAGGGTGACTCAGGTGTGATTTCCACTCCAGAGCTCCCCTCCCCTGGGACCTGACCTGAGGCCACATCCTTGTCCAGCCCTTTCCCACCTTCCCTTGCTGTCAGGCCCCAAATGAGACCTTCTAGGGCAGCACCCTATTGCCCATTTTGTAGGTAGGGAAACTGAGGCTTAAGTAGCAGAGCCTAGCTCCCCAGTGCTAGGAACTCCACAGCTCATTTCTTGACCTCAATACCCGCCCTCACTGCTGTCTTAGTCTTGCCTGGTCCCAGGTGATCCTGAGCACCTGCCTGACACCTGCCTGAGACAAGAACCCCACAGATGTTACTTAGCTCTCTAAACTCAAAGGGGGCCACCCACCTTTTTGTTTCTGATCAGGTGGTGGGGGAGCCAGGACATTCCTCTCCCCTCACAGTCTTGGAGAAGAGAAGGAACCCAGCTAGGGTCTTGGGAGGGAGGGAGAATGCTGGTTTTGAGGAGCCTAACTACCAGCCCTAGCAGCCCACACTATCATACACCAGATGCCAGGGGGAGCACTCTGCATGGTGATCTGATATTAACCCCCAAGAGCTTGATGAAGGAGGCACTGCTAGGTCCCTATTTTACAGATAAAGAAACTGAGGCTCGGAGAGGTTGAGTGACTCTCACATCGAGGAAGGAGCAAAAGCAGATTTGAACCCTGACAGCATGATTTCAAATCCTGTGCTCTAAATCTCCACGCCAGCTGCCCTCCGCTCCATGGATGTGCAGGCGGTGTGCACCAGAAAGAAAGGAAGCACCACTCCCTCCTGGGCAGTTTCCTAGACTGTCCTCACTTCGCAGGGGCCCAGGAGGGACCTTGGGCCTCTCTGCAGCTCCTGCTCCAGCCCTCAGGATGGTCCTAGGGTCCAGCTGTCTGCTTTTAGGGGGCAGCCAGCAATCCAAGGCGTGCACAGCAGACCCCCAACCACCTGGCCATAGGTAGTGCCAACCCCATGGGTCAGGCAGGCCTAGTCCAGGGCTTCTGGAAGTCTCCTGAGAATGTCTCTCCCTTCTCCAACCCAGCCTTTGGGTTTGTGCTTCCATTCCCTTCTCTTGGCCACCTGTAGGCAGACAATGAGGTTACAATGGCGTTCATGGGGAGACATCTATCTACTGGGATCATTCACCAGCATACACAGGGCATCTGCTCTTCGAGCTGCTATTCCACCTCCTTTCCTGCTTCTGTCTTGCAGTTATTTATTTTTTATTAATTAAAAAAATGAATCAGGTCTTCTCTTCCTTTTTTCTCCCTCCCTCCCTCTCATTCTCCCTTCCTCCCATAATAAATCTTTCTTCCCTTCTCAATATAACTGTATCTGATTCTCAGTGGAGAACAGGTGGACTGACCACATAATTTATCATCTCAACCAGGACACTTTGGGGAGGAAAGGAGGCGCTATTCTTAATGGCTCCAGGACAACGGGTGTAAACTGGGGACATCTGGACCTGTGGCCACAGGGATTGCACTGGTCACTTGCCTGTTGGCTTGAAGATTCCCTCCTGCTCCTTTTTGCTCCAAATTACAGTGAACTGACCCTTCCAAACTACAATTCCCAGGATGCCTTGCCCGTCAGCTTATGGTTAGGTCTGAGCAACAGCAGACACAAACTGTGAAGATGGGGTATTTCTCCCTGTCTCTGGCTCCTCCATGAGCAGCCCCTGCAGGCTCTGCTAACTCCACCTCGGTCCACAGTCCTCCAGCTCGGCCTGCAGGGAGGGTAGTGGCTTCCTGCAATGATTGATCGCTGGGTTTTCTCACTTTTCTGGGTTCACCTCTTGCAACACCTCTGAGAAGAGTTCCCTACATTAAGTTCCCTCTGCCTCAAGTTCCCAGTGTGGGTTCTGTTCTCCTAACTTGACCTTGACTGAGAAAGGGGGTATCCCTGTGATTTTCAGTAACACACTGAAACTTCTTTTATGTTCCTTCCACTGGAGACCAGATCTCTGGATTCCCACTTCCTACCCTGCCTTCCACGTCCCAGACCCTGCCTTTCAGGGATGCCAGGGCACATTTCCACTGAGGTGTGCAGCCTTCCTGGGGTGTCTTGGATTCATGCCCAGAAGGCCCCTGGGTATTTTCATTACCTGTAAATTGTTTTTCTCGCCTCTTCATTCTTCTCAAAACATGCTGTTGGTGTTGAATGGTTTTTGATAATTCTTCATTTTCAGCAGCTGGGAGAATTGAAAGGTGACCTTCTCAAGATGGATTTTTACACACTACTCACCAAATCTTCTCCCCCTCACAACACCTCAAGCAACTCAGGTCTTCTCTGGAATCTGGAGGTTCTTCCAGAAGATTCCTTGAGCACCTGTCTGCATACCCTTACACACTACCTAAATTTGTCATCTACTGATGTTTCTCCAGTTGTGATCCCCCAACCACCCACATCAGAACAGGTAGAGGAGCTTCTTAAAAATGCAAGTTCCACAGGCCCACTTTCTGCCTGCTGCATCTGTATGTCTGGGGGCCTGAGAATCTTCATTTGATAAACTCCTCTATTTTATTTATTTATTTTTCTTTTTTTTATTTATTTATGACAGTCACAGAGAAAGAGAGAGGCAGAGACACAGGCAGAGGGAGAAGCAGGCTCCATGCACCAGGAGCCCGATGTGGGATTCGATCCTGGGTCTCCAGGATCGCGCCCTGGGCCAAAGGCAGGCGCCAAACCGCTGCGCCACCCAGGGATCCCAAACTCCTCTATTTTAAAAACAGCCTATCTTGTTTTTTTTAAAAGGTTTTTAAAAATTTATTTATTCATGAGAGACACAGAGAAAGAGAGGCAGAGACATAGAGAGAGAGAAGCAGGCTCCATGTAGGGAGCCTGATGTGGGACTCGATCCACAGACTCCAGGATCACCCATGGGCCAAGGGCAGGCACTCAACCCCTGAGCCACCCAGGCATCCCCCAGACTATCTTATTTCAAAAGGTTTGCCTCCTTGAGGATCCCAAGCTTCAGCATTTATTGGGAGCCTCCTCTGTATCATGCACAGGACAGATGTATTATGTATTATGTTAACTCCTCACAGCTCAGGAAAGGGATTATTTTATTTTATTTATTTATTTTTTCATTTTATTTTATTAAAGATTTTATTTATTTGTTTGAGAGTGAGAGTGAGCATGAACAGAGGAGAGAGGCAGAGGGAGAAGCAGACTCCCCACTGAGCAAGGTGCCTGACGCAGGGCTCGATTCCAGGACCCTGAGTTCATGGCCTCAGCTGAAGGAAGATGCTTAACCATGTGAGCCACCCAGGTGCTCCAGGAAGGAGATATTATACTCATTTATTTACAGATGAGGAAATCAAGGCTCAGTGAGGTGAAGTGACTTACAGCAAAGAGGACCAGCTGCCCAGGATCACCCAGGTGGAAAGGGGCTGTCCTCTCTGCCTCTACGTCTATGTCACCTGCTCCAGACATCTTGCCTGAATACTCCTACCCAAAGAACCTTCTTCCATATTCCTTTCTTTCTAAAGGAGCCTGTTGTCTCCTTTACAGCCCTTATCAGAACTTTCAATTATTTCACTTATTGGTTAATTTAGGGGCTTTCTGTCTCTTTTCTTCAGGGCTCATTTTCCCCAGAGCCTGGCACAGAGCAGGTGCTCAGGGAATACTTACTGAAGAATGGACTTGTTCAACGCAGGTGCTGGGGAAAAACACCTTCCAAAAAGACTGTCTCCTATTTTGCAAAGTTTTGCAAAGACTGTCTCCTATTTTGCAAAGTTCCTGCTTTCAAATGTTCCAAAGGTCCAAGCCTATTTCTGTGTGTGTGTGAGTGTGTTTGTGGGTTTGTGTGCATATACTTGTTGCACATCTCTCTGAGCTACTAAGACCACTCTACCACTACCACCCCCCACCAGCCTCCTGCTCCCAGCCAGCATGGAAGTGCAGCTCACCAGGCTTCCCGAAGCATCCTTCTTGTGACTTCTGCCAGTTGAGAATGGCTTCCAGCCACCGGAGCTTGTAGAAATCCAAGAAGCCGCTGATTCCACAAAACATGACTGGAAGCAAAGACAGAGGACCTCTACAGGCCTGCCCCTCCAGGCCCACCTGCTTCCATGCCCAAGGCTGTACAGTGCCACCTGCCTCCTCCTGCCGGGGAGGTGGGTGCTCAATGCAGTGGCCAGAAGAAGGCAGCTCCCAGGCTAGGCCCTGCCTTCCATTTAGGGCCTTCACTGGAGGCACTCAAGAGTTGAGGTCCATAGAGGGATCTAGATGCCCAAGCCAAGGAGCAGCCCCCCAGAGACTCCTTTTCTGCCTCATCTCTGAGGTGTCAAAGTCTGTTTGCCAGTCAGCTAGGCTGTCAGTCCAAAGCTCCATCACTGGTCAGCCTTTGGGGGCAGGAAGCAGTCACATAGTGGCAGATGAAATATAGGATGGCCAATTAAATTTGAGTGTCCAATAAACACAAATGCAAATTTTAAAGCATAAGCATATCCCATGGAATGTCCAGGATATGCTTATACTAAAAATATATTCAGTTTATCTGAAGTTCAAATTTTCTTGCACACCCTGTATTTTTATTTGCTAAATCTGGCAGTCCTACTGGAGTTGTTCGCATGTGTGCACGCGTGCCCTCTGAATCAGGGACACTCCACTGCTTTGTCCCTAGAGAGGAATGCCAGGGCTCACTGTTTTCCATGAAGATGTCCCGGGTGGGGTAGGCATATCCGATGGCCTCAGCTCTCCAGTTCAGGTCCATCATGTTGGCACAAAAGAGGTTCATGTAGTGCTGGCTCTGGCGAAACAGCCCCTCGGTGCACCCTTTCTAAGGGGAACAAACAGCCAGAAACAGGGAAGTTAGTGGTATGGGTGACATACCCACACTCTGTTCCAGAAGTCTTTCCCCTTTTCCCAGAATTTCTTCCCCATCTATACCCCTGGACTCCTGGGGGCTCTGTTACTGGGGGTGGGGTGGGTCAGAAAGAGCTAGGTGTGAGTCGGTTCTGCCACTCAGGAGCTGTGTGACCGGAGCCAGCTCAGTTAACCTTTTTTTTTTTTTTTTAAGATTTTATTTATTTATGAAAGATATAAAGAGAGAGAGAGACAGAGGCAGAGGGAGAAGCAGGCTCCTTGTGAGGAGCCTGATGTGGGACTCGATCCCAGGACTCTGGGATCATGACCTGAGCCAAAGGTAGACGCTCAACCACTGAGCCACCTGGGTGCCCTAAGTTAACCTTTCTGAGCCCCAAGGGTCTCAGCCACAGGGAAAGGGGGATGTCGCTGGGTGCTGCACCAGAGGTGCTCACCTGGGTGGGTAGTACCATTATTAGAAAGTGCCAGACACAAGCCTGACTCTACAGTGTCCTAGCCATTCGCGGCTGTCACATTCAGATTCCAGGCTAACCCAACTGGCAGCTTCAGTGCTGCTCAAAGCATGGGCCATGGACGGGTCCCAGGGACAGGACAGGATATGAGATGAGGCAGTTTCTGTAGCAATGTGTCAGAGGAGATTTCTACTGGTCCAATCTAGTAATCAAAATAATTTTCCTCATAATTTGATTTTTATTTTATTTACAGAAATACTGGACAGTGACAAATAAATTTAAAAAAATTTAAAACCTGTCAAATAAAACATTAAACACTGGTCCAATCTAGTAATCAAAATAATTTTCCTCATAATTTGATTTTTATTTTATTTACAGAAATACTGGACAGCTTACAAATAAATTTAAAAAAATTTAAAACCTGTCAAATAAAACATTAAACACCTTCTCAGCTAATAATTTCTGCACATAGAATAACATCTTTCCACAGAGATAATGAGCCTTATCTTTTTTTTAAAGATTTTATTTATTTGACAGAAAGAGAGGATGAACAGGGGAAGAAGCAGAGGGAGAGGGAGAAGCAGGCCCTCCACCCAGCAGAAAGCCCAATGCAGGGCTCGATTCCAGGACCCTGGGACCATGACCTGAGCTGAAGGCAGACGCTTAACCAACTGCCAACTGAGCCCCCCAGGTGCCCCTGAGCCTTACCTTTCTTTCTTTCTTTCTTTGTTTTTTTTTTTTATTTTTTTATGATTTTATTTATTTATTCATGAGAGACAGAGAGAGACAGAGAGAGACAGAGAGACAGAGGCAGATGGAGAAGTAAGCTCCACTCAGGGAGCCCGACGTGGGACTTGATCCGGGTCTCCAGGATCACGCCCCGGACCGAAGGCAGCGCTAACCACTGATCCACCCAGGGAATTCCCTGAGCCTTACTTTTCTATATGAGGAAATATGTATATTTAAAATTATTATTAATATTAATTATTATTAATTATTCATATTAATTAGCAACGTTTGATCTCTTGGGTTTGGAAGAGCATCGGGTACTGCAGAGGCAGGGGTTTTCTGGAAGCTGCTACAGACCAAATGTTCTAAATCCTTGTCCATTTGTATTGTTTGCTGAGTTCTTTCTGCTGCTTCTCTTTTACTCTTTCTCTCTTTTTGTTTTCCTGGTGCCTACAATCCAGTTCAGCACGCAAAGCTATCTATCCAACTAGAATCCGGATCCTACCATCCCTCCTCCCTAGTCTGGTTCCATATTATAGTGTTATAGCAGACAGCTACTCTGACTTCTCCTTCTTGGTGTCCAAAAACCCACTTATTTTCCCTGTGTGTAGTATACAAAAGCCACATTGCCACGAGCCCCTTTTTATCTTTCTCTGTCCTGTATGTGTGTGGCTGGCCCATGTGGGGCACTTACCATTCTGGCCAAGAGGAAGAAGAGCAGCTGGTGGGACAGGCCATAGCCTGAGTAGCCGGGCTTGGTCATCAGGGTTCTGCAGAAGTCAGAGACCCGGCAGGGCTGGCTGCTGTCTGTCCTGGGGAAGAAGTGGTTCAGGCTCTAGAGAAGGGTGCCCGAAAGGAAGTTTGAGGACATGGAGCCTTCCTTGGTCCCTATTCTCCCACTGGTTCTTAGAAACCCAGTAGGTTCCAGGCACCAAGCTCTGCCCAAGGGGTTGCTGGATAGAACACAGGTGTACTATGTCTTGTTTTTTCTAAACCAGTAACTCCAGCATAGGGGAGGTGACACTGGAGTTATCCTGGGTTGGGGGAACTCCAGGGGGCTGCAGCTTCCTATTGCTCTGTGGGACCCCCAAGAATACTCTTTCCCAGCACTGCTCTACACAGCAGTCCTCTGAACCTAGGGCTGATTCTGGGCATGCTCCAAGGCTACTGCACAACAGGATAAAATGGTGAGCTTAATGAGGCTCTATTCCTCCTTTCAGAGACCTATAGCTCAGTGAGGAAGGCAGAACCATAGACAAATATAGATTGTATCTATGGATACTAGTGGTGCTAGGAGAGCCAGCCTACTCGGGGAGGTCAGTCTTGTGCAGTGGGGCCAGGGAAGGTTCTGGAGGAAGGATGTGGCCCTGAAGTGTAAGCAGTTACTTAGGCATGGGGATGGGTGGGGCACGGCGGATGGAGGCCCCCAAATGCCAGCTAGGCACAGGCAAAGTAGGTACTCTTGATAGTGTGACAAGGGCCCCAGGAGCTGGACGAGAGAGGTCCCCAGACCTGGGACGACAGCAGGAGTTGGGGCTTTGTTCTGAGAACAACAGGAAGCTTCACACCAGGGGCAGGATGTTCAGATGTGGTTTTTGAAAGGATCCCCTCAGGTCTGAGAGACCAATGGGGTATGGGTGGCAGGCAAAAGGAGGGCATGCAGGAAGTGGGGTAGACATTTGGACTTGGCTGCAAGTCTTGAGTGAGAGTGGGGCCAGCTTAGGCTCAATGGGGGTGGGAGAGGTTCATGTCAGGGTGGTTGGGCAGGTGGCTTTGCCTGGTTTTACACAGATCCTTGGGGACTTGGAGAGTGGTTGGGACAGGAGGACAAACAGAGAATAAGTGTTTTGGGATTTTGGGAAGCGGGGCAAGTGCAGGGGGCCCACCCTGTTCCCAGCAGTTGCACCAGACAGGAGTCACTGAGTTCCTCTGAGAAGGAGTCCTGTGGCTCAAAGGTGGGGTAGACCATGGAGGCATCTGTGCTGGTCCAGGCACGCGGAAGCTTCCAAAACCCAGGCTGGATGGTTGGCTGGAACTCTGGTAGAGAGGTGAGGTGAGGAGGAAGACACTGAGGAGTGGTGGGCCAAGACTTGCCTAACTGCACCCAGGTTCCTGCAGCCCAAGCCAAGGAACTAGGTGTCCCTGTCCAGGTAGCCCTAACCACACACAAGCCTGCTCGGGGCTCTGAGCCTTGCCTGCTGGTTACACATTGTATTTGAAACTCTCAGGAAGCTCTTCTTCTAAAACAAAAAAAAAAATTTTTTTTTAAATCAATAAGAATAGTGTTGGGACAGGGTTTTTTGTTTGTTTTTTGTTTTTTTGGGGGGACAGGTTTTGATCAAATCCATTTTATCCCATGGAAGCATGAGACATACAAAAAGGGCTAGTTGACTCCTTTGGTTTGGTTAGAAAGCGGAGTTCTTACAAAACAGTTGTCAAGGGACATCATTAGGGTGACACAAGTTGGGATGGTCTTAGGATCAGGCCTGGGAGGAGGTGGGGGACCTGGAGATCAGAGGTAGGGAGGAGGGCTGGGGTGTGCAGCCAGGCTGTTGTCTGAAAAGGAAGGATGGACGGGCTAATTATCTCCTCATTTGCTCCCACACGCCTGACTGGGAGCTGGGAGTCTAGGAGGCTGGATAGGCAGGTGGGACTGGTTTTATAGGTCGCCTGCCTCCACCACCCTCTGGAATGGTTCATGCCAGGCTTATAGGGTGGGTCAGAGAGATACAAATAATAGCAGGTTGCTAATGTTTGATGCACAAAGGGCTAAATTACTTTTGAGATACCCTACTCTCTGGGACAGACCAGACCCTCCACTCTGGTCTAGGATGAAGGCTACCAAGCTGGGTTAGCTGAACAAGGAGACATGTTCCCTACTCCCCATGTGGGTGGGAGAGGTCATCTCAACCTGGTCAGGGATGACCAAACATTCCCCAGGGTCAGCCTGTGGTGTGTTTGGCCCACTAGAACTCAGTTGGTTACAGACTGTTCCAGACCCTCCCTGACACCAGGAGGAGCGCCCTCAGATGCTGTGTTCCTGAAGAAATGGGACTCTACTCTCCTGCTATATTACCTCTTAGGTACTTGGGGTCACTCAGCTTGAGGTAGAAGATGGATCTGTGAAGGAGAGGCGCTAGCTTTTCCACCAGCTTCGCCACACGCAGGCTCAGCTGCTGCAGCTGGGGGTCCTGGGCCCACTTTTCCTGAACACCTTTTAGCTGCACTGAAAAGGAAAAGACTTCATTCATTTCGTCATTTGACAAACCACTTGGACAGGAAAAATTATCCTAACTTATAATGCTTCCCGAGCCTCCCTGCCTCCTCCAGCTTCTGAGAAGAAAGACTTGGCTGAGCTTATTAGAAATTAGGTCTTGTGGGGCTCAGCCAGGTGATGTGGGTGTGATGGGGGTGGGGCCGGAGTGCTAGAAGTTGGCAGCTAAGAGCTTGATTTTTGGAGGTGGGCCTGGGTTCAGATCCTGACTCTAACACTTTCTTGTTGGGGGACCTAAGAAAGATATTTAATTTATTTCCATTTTACTTTCTTCATCTATAAAATGGGGAATGATGTTCTTTACTTCTTGGAGTGGGTGGTTGTAAGAATTAAATGAACTAATGTATAGAGAGGACTTAGCATTGTTCATAGTACAGAGTAAACACTTAATACAGTTTAGTCATAAGTATTGATTAGGGAGATTTAAGGTCTGCTCTACAGGAGAAAAAGATGAGGAAGGGACTGAGTGGAGAGCCACTGTGTACAAGTGTACAACTGTACACAGCTGAGCAGGTTGTACACTGCCCAAGAGCAGTATATATTCCTATCATGGATTTGTATATGTACTGAGACAATTTTCCAGCAGATGGCAGGCAAGTGACTTGAGGAAGGAGACATCTTTTTCTAATCCTCACAGAGGTGCCTTTTGGATTAGCAGTGGCTCCGCAGGGGTGGGAGAAAATGGTGATGGTGAGGACAAAAGAGGTGGTCAAGAGAGGAGAGGTGAGGGAAAGCCTCAGCACAGGGCTGAGAGGGTGAGACTTGGCTTGAGTTGTTCTCTGCTTCAGGTAGAGACTTTGGTGGGGAGGGTGGATGAGGTTTAAGAGGGTGCTAAGCCCCTGGGTGGCTCAGCGGTTTAGCGCTGCCTTCAGCCCGGGGTGTGATCCTGGAGACCCAGGATCGAGTCCTGTATCAGGCTCTCTGCATGGAGCCTGCTTCTCCCTCTGCTTGTGTCTCTGCCTCTCTCTCTCTCTCTCTCTCTCTCTGTGTGTGTGTGTGTCTCTCATGAATAAATAAATAAAATCTTAAAAAAAAAAGAGGGTTCTAAGCAAGTTTTGTGGGATGACAGGCCCTGTAACATCCTTTTCCAGGCATGACTCTCTCCCTGCCCTTGAACCTAGGCCGTCTGCTTCTGAAGCCTTGCTCCAGACTGCTTGGCTCTACAGCAGATGAAACCCAGAAGGGGTAGCTGAGTTAGCAGTGAGGTGCACCCAACCTGGCCTCCTGGTGGTATTTCTCCCACCTGTGTGGCTGTTGCTGCCACCTTCTGGTGCACCCTCCTGGCTGGCAGAGGCAGCTGGAGGGGTGCTTTTCTCTGGTACAGTTAATGTCCACCTGTCTAGCCCCAAGCAGAATAGATCTGGGGGATCAATGGGTATCTTATTGCTCCTGGATCCCCCAGAATGTAAACTTCTTCTCTCTGTCTCCCAGGAGGCCAAGAATGAGGATAGGACCTTACCTGGCCAGCCAGTTTTTCATACCCTTCCAAGCCCCTCCTGCACTGTATGGGGCTGACCCCTAAAACCAGTAAGAAACTAGGGGAAACAATGGTGTGTGACCTTCAAGGCTTGGCTGTAAAAGATGTTGAGGCTTCTACCTTGCTCTCTCTGGAGTCACTTCCTCTAGGGGAAGCCGGCTGCCATTTTGCAAGGGCACTCACATAGCTGTATGGTGAGGCCACGTGGTGAGGAATTGAGGCCTCCAGGGGTTACCTGGGAGTGAATGGGGTGGCTCCTCTGGCCCTAGTCAAGCCTTCAGATGATCACACCCCCGGCTGACATCATGACTCCAACCTTATGTGAGACCCTGAGCCAGAACCACCCAGCCCAACAGTTCCTGGATCCCTGACAAACAGAAATGGTAACTGTTTTATTGTTTTATGCAGCTAAGTTTGGGGATCATTTGTTATGTATCAGTAGGTTATTGCAAAGGGATAGAGTAGAGCCGTGGAGAGGAGAGGAGAGGGTGGCCTTGGTTTAAGGCTGTTGTGTGGTGTCAGCTTGGGCTGCCTTGTCCCTCCTTCCCAGCCACATCGACCCTGTAATGATTCAGGTAACGGGTGCCAAGTCAGACAGAGCAGGGTTCTAAGCCCACCACCTGCACATGCTGGCTGTGTGACCTCGGACATTCTTTTTTTTTTTAAGACGTTATTTAGTATTTAGTTATTCATGAGAGACAGAGAGAGGAACAGACACAGGCAGAGGGAGAAGCAGACTCCACGCAGGGAGACTCGATCCCAGGTCTCCAGGATCATGCCCCGGGCCGAAGGTGGCACCAAACTGCTGAGCCACCTGGGCTGCCCTGGACATTCTCTTTTAAAGCCTGTCCTCTCATTGGTAAAAAGGGGATAATCATAATGAACTTACTTTAAGGATTGTGGGGAGAAGTCAGAGAAATGCCCCACAGGAGGGCTTACATTGTTTCAGTGCTTAGTGGGTACTTAGCAAACTTCATCTTTTATTATCTCATGGACCCCAGAAAGCACACAGCCGAGGGAACCACCTGCCCTTCCTTCCCCTCTCCAGGAGGAACCGACAGGTCCATGGGACAGTTGCTGACAAAAGTCTGTTACCTATTCCAGGAATGTTTATTCAACGGCTGCTTGGAGGGAGCCCAGTGCCGTGGCTGACTTCCAGGGTGGTCAGAAAAATCAGTGCAATGCCCACCCTTCCCTCAAGGGCTGTTACAGCAGGTGGATTTGAATATTAGACCCCCGGCCTATCAGCTGTGAGGCGTAGGGAGGTTACTGAACCTCTCTGTGCCTCAAAGTCTTCACCTGCAGAAAGCAAAACAGAGCACATTCCTGTCTGGGCTGTCTGGAGATTACACGCAGCCAGTGCCTGGGTGACATTCAAGGCACATTTGCCGGGTCACATGCTGTGGTTTTGCGGGCCCCTTCCTTTATTAAAAAAAAAAAATAGATTAAAGCGTATATCTTAAGACTGCATTAGTATAAAGATGGATATGCTTATATTCTATATTAGAGTATTCTCTTTGACCTAAAAGTTCATTTTTATTCTTTCTGACTTTCAGAGAAATCAAAACATTTTCGTGGGCCCCTGAAAGTATCCTGTGCCCAACGGGGAAGCCAGTCCTGTGGTCTTTTACTATTAATAATTTCTTTTTTTTTTAAGGATATATGTATTTTAAGATTTTACTTATTCATGAGAGACAGAGAGGCTCCATGCAGGGAGCCCGACGCGGGACTCGATCCTGGGTCTCCAGGATCACACCTGGGCTGAAGGCAGGAGCCGAACGACTGAGCCACCCAGGGATCCCCTATTATTCATTTCTAGAGGCATTATAGGGTGGGGCTGAGATTAAATGCAGACCCTGGTCCTAGCTTCAGAGGGTCTTGGATCTTCAGACTCTCCAGGATGCCTCCTGGGGGAGGTCAGGCACAGAGGTAGACCTGTTCCAGAGCCTCTCCTCCTGCTGGGACCTGGAGTCTGGGTGGGCAGTGGGTGGTAAGCTGCACTGACTATCCAGAGGGGGTGATGTGAAAGGGGGGCTGGCCAGAGCCTCAGGCTGGTTCCAAGTCAGCTCTTTGTTACTAAGGGCAAGGGGGCCTTGGGAGAGGCGTTCCTTGCAACTTGAGGGGTGTGTGGGGGGGTGGTTCCTTGCTTGCCTTGGTCTATTGCCAGCTCCTTGTAGGTGATCTTAATCCCTGAAAGCTGAACAAACACTTGGCTCTTTTCTTGGAGCCTTGAGGTAGCTTTGGCTGGGAGTAGGGGGAGTGGAGTTGGATCCTGATCCTCAGGGTTCCTGGTTTTGCCCATAGCCGCCCTCCTGTACACCCCCCTCTGCCCATCTTGTTCTTGACATATCAGGATTGGCACTGTCAAGTGAATCATTTCATCCCAGGAAAATAATAATTTCCAAATCTTTTCCCATGTGGCCTCTGAATCCTTTTTGCCTCTTAAACAATTGAGGATAGCAGGGCCCCCAAGACACCCAGAGGGAGCAAGCCTCCCAGCAGAGCAGAGAGGTGACAGGCTGAGAAACGGCTTTCCAGGGGCCAGTCCAGAGGAATGAACATGCACCCACCTTCCAGGACCCGGAACCCCACCACACCGTCCAGGTTAATTTCAGATAGCCTCTTCTTCAGGAAGGAGGTGGTTCTCTCCAGGGCAGAGAGGATAAAGCCCACGATGGTGGCCTTGCCCTCCGGGGTGTCTGGCAGTGCCAGCGAGGAAGGCCACAGTGGGGGTGGCGCTGCCAGCAGCAGGAGCAGGAGCAGGAGCCCTGGGCTGGACATGGCTGGTCCTCTGCCTGAGGCTGGTCGGGTGCTTCAGCCCTGGCCGCTGGCCCCCACATAGCCTCCTCCTTCCCCCTCCTCCTTGTCCCTCCCCTGCAGAGCTGCAGACAATCCGTGAGCCAGACTGACCCAGCAGCTGGGGGTGGCCTGGCAGCAGGCTGTGGGAGGCCAGCTCTGGAGTGGAGCCAGCTGGCTGCAAGCTTCCCCCTTTCCTTCTCATTGCTGGTTCTCTAGGCCTGTGGACTACATCTTGGATCTACAATTGGAGTCATACTTTAGACATCTAAATGCACTGAAACATAAAGATTTTGGCTTTTTTTTCTTGTTTTTAGATTTAATTTAATTTTTAATTTTAAAAAAGATTTTATTTATTTATTAATGAGAGATACAGAAAGAGAGAGGCAGAGACACAGGCAGAGAGAGAGGCAGAGAGAGAAACAGGCTCCAAGCAGGGAGCCCGACATGGGACTTGATTCCAGGTCTCCAGGATCACACTTTGGGCTGAAGGCAGGTGCCAAACCACTGAGCAGTCCAGGTGTCCCTTGTTGTTTTTTTTAAAAATAAGTTTGGAATAAGCTTGTTTGAAGGCACATCTGCCAGAACTGACAGATTTCTGAGGGCAGTGCCTGTCCAGTAAGAAACAGAATATAAGCTGCAAAGGCAAGCCACATGGGCACTTAAGAATCTTCTGGTAGCCACATCTTAAGAAGCAAAGAAAAGCAAGTGAAATTAAAAAAAAAAAAAAAAGGTTTTTTTTTAAGTAGCCTCCATGCCCAGCGTGGAGCCCAACAGGAGGCCCAGATCCACAATCCTGAGATCAAGACCTGAGCTAAAATCAAGAGTCCGACACTCCACCAACTGAGCCAACCAGGCACCCCAGGTGAAAAATTTTAATGATCTATTTATTGTATTTGAACCAATGGACCCAAAATATCATTTCAACTTGTAATCAATATGACAATGATTAACTTTGTAACATTTTTTAAAATATCAGTTTTCTCAAAAATAAAATAAAATATCAGTTTTCTCAAATGAAGTCTTTGAAATCTGGCATTTTACACTTGAGGCACACTTCAATACAGGCTAGCCTCATTTTAAGAACCCGACAATCACATGCAGCTGTTGTATTGGACAGTGAAGACTTAGAGCCTTTCTTTGGCTCATTCAGTGTAAAAGTATATCTGTTTCCCTGCAGAAAAAAATTTTTTGTAATGTATTCATGTATTTTAGAGAGAGAGCTCAAGTAGGGAGAGAGAGAAGCAGACTCCCTCCTGAGTGGGGAGCCCCATGAGGGGCTTGATTCCATGACATCGAGATCACAACCTAAGCTGAAACCAAGGGACAACTGAGCCACCCAGGCGCGACCCCTGCAGAAATGTTAATGTTGGTTTACTGGGTGTTCTCCTGATCCTTGCCAGATCGTTACACGTACGTGTGCCATATCACCTTTCTAAAATCCAAAATATTCTGAATGCAGAAACATATCTGGCCCCAAGGGCTTCAGTTAACAGATTATAGATCTGTAAAAATAATAAAAATACCACCACCCAAATGCATATCTTGACGCTCCTCATGGGCATGCTGTAGGTCAACCATTTACTTTCATTCTTGTCCCTCCCTCCCCCACCACTGCCAGCCTTTTTATACAATTTTTTCCCCTGAACATTTAAAAATGACAGCTTTATTGAGATATAATTCACATACCATAAAATTCGCCCTTTTAAAGTGTACAATTCAGCAGTGTTTTTAAAGTATATTCACAAGGTTGTTCAACCGCCACCACTGTCTGATTCTGAAACATTTTCGTTCCCCCCAAAAGAAACCCGTCCCCATTAGCAGTCACTCCCCATTCCCACCCCTGCCTCCTCAACTGCCCAGTCCCCCAATAACCACAAACCTGCTTTCAGTTTCTATGCATTTGTCCATTCTGGACATTTCACAGAAGTGGAGAATTATTCAATATGTGACCTTTTGTGTCTGACTGCCTTCTTTCAGCATAACATTTTCCAGGTTCATCCATGTTGTAGTCTGAATCAGGACTTCATTCCTTTTTATGACTCAAGAAGATCCCATTGCATGTTATCATGTTATATAGCCTATCCATTCATCAGCTGATGGGCATTTGAGTTGTTCCTACCTTTCTGCTATTGTGAATAATACTACAATAAACATCTGTTCAAGGTTTTCTTTTTTAATTTTAAGATTTTATTTATTTATTCATAGAGACAGAGAGAGAGAGGCAGAGACACAGGCAGAGGGAGAAGCAGGCATCATACAGAGAGCCTGATGTGGGACTCGATCCAGGGTCTCCAGGATCACGCCCTGGGCTGCAGGCGGCGCTAAACCGCTGCGCCACCGGGGCTGCCCTGTTCAAGGTTTTATTTCAAACCTGTCTTCAATTTTCTTGGGCATACATCACTTGAGGATCCTGTGGTGACTCTATGTTTAACTTATTGAGGAACCATCAAACTATTTTCCACAGTGGCTGCATCATTTTACCTTCCTACCAGTGATGTATGAAGGTTCCTCACGCATCTCTTTTTGTATGGTAACCCCATGACATTTTATTTTATTTATTTTTTAATTTTTATTTTCAAAAAATTATTTTATTTATATATTCATGAGAGACACAGAGCAAGGCAGAAACAGGCTCCCTATGGGGAACCTGGCGCAGGACCGATCCCAGGACCCTAGGATCATGCCCTGAGTCGAAGGCAGATGCTCAACCACTGAGCCACCAGGTGCTCCACCCAATGACATTTCAATACTGCAGTTATACTACAAATTTGTTTGTGTCCTGTATCTGTATCTATGACCTATTCATAGAGTTGTTTTTCCCCTCCCCAACAACCATTTTTTATTCCCTTGAATGTGCCATTGAGAATGAATGTTCCAGGTGAAGCTTGTCACTATCGTCACTTCAGTTAATCCACAACAGCCTCTGAAGTGGATACTATTCTTTTTTTAGTTTATTTTTTATTTTTATTTTTTATTAGAGTTCAATTTGCCAACATATAGCATAACACCCAGTGCTCATCCCATCAAGTGCCCCCCTCAGTGAACACTATTCTTATTTCCTTTTAAAACTTAAAATCTGAGGCTCTGGGGGAGAAGGAAAGTGACTTCTTGTGACGTCGTGTGTCACAGGTGGTATGAGGTGGTGCAGGAATTCCAAAGCCTCAGTCTATTATCTTAACCATCAGGTGATCCTGCTAGGGTTCAACCTCCAGTCTCTGGAAGGGGAAACTACCCTCCTGACCTCGGGAAGGACTGAATTTAATATGTGATTTATGTCAAGTGGGCAAGTAGGACAAGCAGGGCTGGCTGAGCTCTGAAGCACCGCTGGCTGGTGGGTGATGCATCTTGTTCCTTTCTCCCTAGGGAAACAATCCTGACTCCTTTTCCAATCAGGGTTTCATCTTCCAGAGCACGGCATTTACTCTTGGTTTGTCTTTACTCCAGCACTTGGTCCTTATCTTCTTAGATCACCAGAGCAGTGGGGGGCTGTCTGAGATGGGAAGTTCCCTCCTTTATTACAGGTCAGGAAAGTCAACTGATTGAGTAGTGATTTGCTCAAGATTATGAAACCCAGCAGACAGAGGTCTCAAGATACCAGCCACCTTCCATCTACAAGAGGGTGGGCAGAGTGGGCAGTGTGGGTACTCCAGCCTCTCAGCCTCCACACCTCAAGGTGAGGGATTAAGGAGCTACTTTCCATGTCTGTCACCTATCCCTCCCATCCATACATATTTACTCATCTTTCCTTTCCCTCTTTAGCTAAATTTTCAAGTCCTCCCTCTGTCACATATTCACTAATGGTGTGACCTTCAATATCCTTATAGGTAAAAAAGGAGCCACAAGGCTACTATGAGAAGCAAATGAGACACGTATCAAGTCTTGAGCTGGGCTCTAGGGCCTCGGGAACCACACCTGCAAGGTGTTGCCCTGTCTAGGCCCTTATCAAAGGAGGAGGCACCCTTTTATTTCTTTGTCCAATGCCTGAGTGAGTGAGGCAGCCAGAGGATAGGTGGTAGTGCCAGGCACTCTGCAGCCTCCAGGGCAGCTCCCAACCCGAGGGCAATGAGGGTGACTTCGCCAACATGCTCTCAATGTTTCCCAGCAAGAAGATCCCTTTTGAAGTTAAAAGGTTACTACATGGACACACACATGTTTGACCACTTAAAAAAAATTTTATTTATTTGAGAGAGAGAGAGTGCATGCACAAAGAGGGGGTGCAGGAAAGAGAATCAGGCTCCCGGAAGAACAGGGAGCCTGAACACGGGGGCTCCATCCCAGGGCCCTGAGATTATGACTTGAACCAAAGGCAGATGCTTAACCGACTGAACTACCCAGGTGCCCTGGAAAATTTTCCTTCTTAACACATATACTTGAATTCATTGGGGTTTCTTTTCTTTCCTTTTCTTTTCTTTTCTTTCTTTTCTTTTCTTTCTTTCTTTCTTTCTTTCTTTCTTTCTTTCTTTCTTTCTTTCTTTCTTTCTTTCTTTCTCTTTCTTTCTTTCTTTCTTTTCTTTGTCCCCTTTCCTTTTCTCTTTATAAATTTTTTTATTCAAGTACAACATACATCCTGAAAAATGAACAAGTTTGCTGCTTAATGAACTTCCTCCAAAGGACCACACCCACCTCACCAGCACCCAGATCCAGAGAGACAACAGGAGGAGCCCTATCCTATCAGCTCCGCATTGACCCCCTCCCTCTCATACCCAATCCTCCAAGGTAGGTCACCTTGCTGACATCTAACAGCAAAGGGTAGTTTCTGTTTTTCCAAAGATTTTTATTTATTTATTCATGAGAGACACAGAGAGGCAAAGACATAGGCAGAAGGAGAAGCAGGCTCCCTGCAGGAACCCCATACATGACTTGATCCTAGGACCCCAGGACCACGACCTGAGCTGTGAAGGTAGCGGCTCAACCACTGAGCCACCCAGGTGCCCTTGTTTTTTTTTTTTTTTTTTTTTTTTAAGATTTATTTGATAGAGGGGCAGCGAGCACAGAAGAGACAGGCAGAGGGAGAGAGAGGGAGAGAATCTCAAGCAGACTGCACTGAGCACAGAGCTTCACTCCAGCCTCCAGATCCCGACCCTGACATCATGACCTGAGCCAACATCAAGAGTCCACACCTGGGCAGCCCGGGTAGCTCAGCGGTTTAGCACTTGCCTTCAGCCCAGGGCCTGATCCTGGAGACCTGGGATCGAGTCCCACATCGGGCTCCCTGCATGGAGCCTGCTTCTGTCTCTGCCTCTCTCATGAACGAATAAATAAATTAAACTTAACCAAAAAAAAAAAAAAAAAAAAAAAAGAGTCCACACCTAAGGGACTGGACTGAGCCATGCAGACGCCCCCCAAAGAGCAGTTCTGATTCTATACAAATGGAACCAGCCAGCATGCGCTCCGGCATCTCGCCTCTTTTCTCAACATCATGCTTATGAGATTCATAGAAATGGTTGTTTCACTATAGTTTTGAACCAACACTAATTTTTGACCCCCTCTCCCGGGGGGGGGGGGGGGGTCCTCCCAGGTTCCACGGGAGGCCGCTTAGGGAGGCGCCTGCGCACCTGCCTTCCCTCTCGGCCCTCCTGGGCGGCTGCGTCTGAGGCTGCGCAGTGCGTAGCCCGCCGGCGGGAGGACGCTCACGTGACCGCGGCCGGCGCGCCAAGATGGCGGCCTCCTGCGTGGCGCTGCCGGGGATGGCGGCGTTGCTGCTGCCGCTGCTGCTGCTGCTGCCGCTGCTGCCGCTGCTGCTGGTCTCCTGGAAGCGCTGGCGGGGGGCGCGCGCGAAGAGGCACGTGCTCATCGTGGTGCTGGGCGACGTGGGCCGCAGCCCCCGCATGCAGTACCACGCGCTGTCGTTCGTCCAGAGCGGCTTCGCCGTGACCCTTCTGGGCTTCTGCAGTGAGTGCCCGGGGGCCTCGGGAGGGAGGCCGCGCCCTCCGCGGCTTTGACCGGCGCGGGGGGGCCGCCCCTTTGCTCCCTCCCGCAGCTCTCTGTGAACCGACGCACCAGGCAGCGGCCGACGGAGACAGCCAGGTGCCCGCCCCGCCTCTGCTGGAGGGGTCTCTGGGCGCTGCCAGCGTGAGGGAGCGCCAGCCCCGTGTCGGGGCTGAGCTGAAGTCCGCTGGGCTCCTTGCACAGTCTCACTTGCTCCTCCCAGGGAGTGGAACCCGGGCGTGTGTGACCCCAGGGCCAGGCCGCGTCCTCTCCATTGCACACCCTCAGGGCGGAGGTCTGCAGGCCGGAGAGGTTCCACCTGTGTTGCACGTCCGGCTTTTACTTTCAGGGTGTCTGCTCCTTCATCTTCCTCCGGGATGACGTCTTTAGAGGGTACCCCACGCGTGTATCAGAGGAAAGGGGGGAGTAGCACCGCTCGCCTTTGGCCCCGGTTTGCAGCGTCTGTCAGAGGCTGGCATGGGCTTCCCAGGGGTCTGCCTGTGGCAGGACATTCCCACCGTCCGGGGGGGTCTAGATTATTTGGAATTTGGAGTGCCTGCTATGTAAGTAGATGAAGGTGGTGGGTAAGACTCAGGCCCTTGCTCTGCGGGGAGAATCTGGACACGAAGTGTCCTCGTGCTCTGTTCTGGCTATGGAGGAACAGAGAAAAAAGCCTTATTTTCCAAAACATTCTTCACTATTCAACCTGAGGTGGGGGAATCATCTGACTTTATTTATTTACTTATTTACTTATTTATTTATCATCATCATCTGACTTTAAATTGCCCTCATCAGGGGCAGCCCGGGTGGCTGAGCGGTTTCACACAGTCTTCAGCCCAGGGCCTGATCCTGGAGACCTGGATCGAATCCCACGTCAGGCTCGCTGCATGGAGCCTGCTTCTCTCTCTGCATCTCTCTCTCTCTCTCTCTCTGTGTCTGTGTGTGTCTCTGATGAATAAATAAAATCTTTAAAAATAAAAAATAAATTGCCCTCATCATCATCATCTGACTTTAAATTGCCCTGCCCACCAAATTAAAAGGTGATATTCTTTTCAGACTCCAGACCCTATGAGGAGCTCTTGCAGAACAGCAGAATTCAGATTGTGAGTTTGACAGAACTTCAGAAACTTCCAGGTAGGATGCAGTGAACTTCCAGTATCCAGTCTGTGTGTGTGTGTATGTGTGTGTCTTGGGCAGGTGTGGGAGAATCTGCACATTGCCAAGAATTCTTTTGGGAGTAATAGCTTTTTTTTTTTTTTTTTTTTTTTGGAAGTAATAGCTGTTTTTTTGACTTGTAGTTGGGCCGTACATTTTCCAGTATGGACTCAAAGTTGTATTTCAGTCCGTGCACTTGCTGTGGAAGTTGATATGCAGGGAGCCAGCAGCCTACATCTTTCTCCAGGTAAATATCAGCTTTGTGGTGTTCTATGAAAACCACTGTTAAGTGTCCTTTACTTCCCAGCCTTTTAAAATGTGCAAATTGGATGGGATGCCTGGGTGGCTCGGTGGTTGAGCAGCAGCCTTCAGCTCAGAGCATGATCCCTGGTCCAGGGATCAGTCCAAGGATCGGGTCTCACATTGGACTCCCAGTGGGGAGCTTGCTTCTGCTTCTGCCTGTGTCTCTGAATTTCTCTGTATGTCTCTCATGAATAAGTAAATAAAGTCTTTAAAAAATATGTAAATTGATGAATAAATTGCATATTTGTATGTGCACGTAGATTTATAAAAACATGAGTAGGAGCTTATGGTACGTGTTCAATGTATTTATGGTACTTATTTCTTCTATGTCATAGAGTCTTACACAGTGCTTATTACATATCTATTCTTTTTTTTTTTTTTTTGAAGATTTTATTTATTCATGAGAGACACAGAGAGGCAGAGACACAGGCAGAGGGAGAAACAGGCTCTGTGCAGGAAGCCTGATGCAGGACTCGATCCCAGGACCCTGGGACCACAATCTGAGCCAAAGGCAGACGCTCAATCACTGAGCCACCCAGGTGCCCCTTGTTAGCTGTTTTAGCGTTCACACTCTGATAGGTGAACTGATAATGTGCACATTCTAATAGGTACAAAAATCACCTCTTTAGCCATCTTTTTATCTCCCTGGTTTTTGATGGTCTTGGACTTTTCAGTTTGGTCAACTTTATTTCCTTTATGAATTTTTATACCTTTTTTTGGTGAGGAAGAGGATCTTTTCCCTGCTTATTAATTTCCAAGAGTTTTGTAAAGATAATCAATCCTTTGTTGCTTATGTTGTAACTGTTTTCACTCAGTTTATTGTTGACCATGGTCTGGGTTTCCTTCTCTTCATTCAAGTGTCTCTTTCCCAGAACCCCCCAGGCCTGCCTGCCATTGCTGTCTGCTGGTTTGTGGGCTTCCTCTGTGGGAGCAAGCTCATCATCGACTGGCACAACTATGGGTACACCATCATGGGTCTAGTGCATGGCCCCAGCCACTGTCTTGTCCTCCTGGCCAAGTGGTGAGTGTCTGGGAAGAGGGTGCAGACACCTTCCCTGAACTGGGTAGGAAGAAGGGCAAGTGCAGAGACCTGGTAAGGCTGGTCCCCCATGTGCTCTGTGTGGGTAAGGACAAGGCTGGGGAATTAGGCTGACTCTGGTTACAAAAGTGATAGAAACAGGCCTAAGCCAAGGAAGATGTTTCTTTGTCCCAGAAACTACAGAGTTGAGAGACATGGCTGACTTTGAGCTCAAAAAGGTGTCAAGACCCACTCTTATTTCTCTCTCTGCATTCCCTCCTGGAGGTGTTTCTCATGTGCTGGGGGCTCCCCTGGGCTCTTCCCCACCCTGACAGGCTCAGTGGAGAAAGGAAGCCTCTCTGATTGGCTGATGCTCATCTGTCAGGCTCTGACATCTGACTGAGGTAGGGGGGCTGCAGCACCCTGATGTCTCAGGCTTAAGGGAAATGCTCCATTATCAGGCTTGGGGTCCTAGGTGCACCTGAGCCAGATCCCCAAATAAAACCCAGGGCTGCTGTTGGGGGATGGAGACACAGGCCACAGTCTGCTGCAGCCAGTGAGACAGGGAAAGGGAAGACGGGCCTGCTGGGAGCAGGTTGGATGTGGAACATGAAGAGTCATGTTCTGAGCCTGAGTGGGCAGCGTCTGCCTCCTTTCCCTGATGGGTCATTCACTGAGGGTTGTAATAGCTGTGGCAGCAGCAGCAAGCAATCACTGAGTACTTGCTGCATGCCAGACCAAGCCTTTTATCCCATTCAGTCTACACTGCCCTGGTGAGGATATCCTGTGGTCACTCTCCTTTTACAAGCCAGGAAACTGAGATTAAGTGCCATTTTGCTGCTTGCCACATAGCTAACCAGCATGAGGACCAGAATTCAGTCCCAGGCTGTCCAGCTCTCAGGCCTCTCTGCATCCTGAGTGAGGAACAAGCTGCGGTACACCAGCGGCATTCAACAGCCTTGAGCGCTTCTTCCCCTTCCTGGTTCTCTTTCACTTCTGCACTGGGATCAGGGCTCAAGTCTCCTTTGGGAGCTAATCTATTGCTAACACCTCTCTAACATTTTTTAAACCATCCCTTGATAACCTAAAAGCCTCAGCCCCACGGCCTTTGCAGCAAGACCACAGTGTGACTGAGATTTAATGATGAGACCTTTATTATATTTCTTCCTTTGGTGGCAAGAGAATCTGGATTTTCCCTTCCATAGAGAGAAGGTTTCTAACTGTATTTAAGCTGAAAGGCAGGCAGCCTGGGTGGCTCAGCGGTTTAGCGCTGCCTTCAGTCCAGGGCCTGATCCTGGGGCTCCAGGAATGAGTCCCACGTCAGGCTCCTATGTGGAGCCTGCTTCTCCCTCTGCCTGTGTCTCTGCCTCTCTCTCTCTCTCTCTCTCTCTCTCTCTCTGTCTCTCGTGAATTAAAAAAAACTGAAAGGCAACATGACTTAAAGAAAGCTATGAATGAAATAGCACAGATGGATCTCAGTGCAAACTCTGGGAAGGTGCCTCACCAGCAATCCGACTGGGGAGACCCCAGCTCTGTGCTTTCCTGTATCATAGTTGTCAAGTCGGTGGAGGTGGTGGCAGTAGTGGTGGGTCCCAGGGCTCTGGGCCAAGCGGTGATATGTCTTTTCAGGTATGAGAAACTCTGTGGGCGCCTGTCCCACCTGAACTTGTGTGTGACGAACTCGATGCGGGAAGACCTGGCAGAGAACTGGAGCATCAAGTAGGGGTCTGGGGAGGCGGCGGGTGGGCTAGGGGTGGGTGGGCAGTGTAATGGGTCCCAGCTTCAGCGCCTGCTGTGTCATGTTGGTGAGGCGTCCAGAAATGCCCAGGGGTCTGGGAGGTGGTTGCTGGTTTTGGGAAGCCGAGGGAGGAGGAGGCCAGACAGCCTATGCAGTTTTGTTCTTAGAACCTGTCTCTGTGCTTCCCCGAGTAATTCTAAAGCTTCTTACTTTCTCCTTGTCTGAGAAGTGGATCCTCTGAATGCCCTTATTTTTTGGAATTCCCCTGAATCTTGTATTCCTTAGGCTTTTCTCTGGCTCTCTCTAGACCCCTCGATGATCTCATTGCAGAGCCGTGACCGTCTATGACAAGCCAGCATCTTTCTTTAAAGAAACACCCTTGGATCTGCAACACCAACTGTTTATGAAGCTGGGCTGCACCTACCCTGCATTTAAGGCCCGGTAGGTCTCCTGTCTTGTCTTTATGTGCCTACTCCTGTGTTTGCTGCCTCTCCCCCATCTCCTCAATGCTTTTCAGTCTCTCCCCTAGCTCCTTACTGGGATTGTGGCCTCTCTCATTTTTCTGGCTGCAGACTTGGGAATCCCCTAATCCAGGGGTTGGCAAACTGTGACCACAGGCCTGCCACCTGTTTTGGCAAATAATGTTTTATTGCACTGCAGCACGTTCATCCATTCATGCATTGTCCATGGCTGCTTTTGTACAGCAACAGCAGAGCTGAGTTTTGCAAGAGATTGAATGGTGGTTCTGACATGGCCACATCCTGACCTTTGGGAGCCTGCGGGCCTCACTCTGGAAGGAGATGGGCATCCTGGGGCCTGAGGGCTTGCGCTGAGGCATCTCATGGCCTGTTTCTGTTCCTTCAGCTTAGAACCCCTGGACCTGGCAACAGAGAGGTCGGCCTTCACAGAGCGGGATGCTCAGAGTGGGGTGGTGACGCATCTTCGTGGGCGGCCGGCCCTGTTGATCAGCAGCACCAGCTGGACAGGTCTCAGGACCCTTCTGGGCACTTGGGGCTTGTATGAGCACCTGGCTGAGCCTGTATTACCCTTGCCCCTGCCAGGCCTGCACCCCTGTATTTGAGGATACTGGGGCCTTGATGAAGAAGGGGAGGGTATTGTGTTGGGAGAGGAGGCATCTAGAAACCAGCCCATGACACTTAGGTCTCTTTTCTTACAGAGGATGAAGACTTCTCCATCTTGCTGGCAGCATTAGAAAGTAGGTGTGTGGGTGTGATCAGGAGCTGGGCTTGTCAGGGGCTATTGAGCTGTGCAGTGCTCACCTTGCCTTGCGTGGTGTCCTCTGCAGCATGTTCTTGCCCCTAGGGCCACTGAGTGGGTCAACCTAAGGACATGGGTGGTGGAGATGGTGGCTCTGAGTCCCCATTTGGGTCACTGAGTGACCAGGTCCTAGATCTGAAATGCTACCTCTGGGAGTGATCTTGTCGTTGGGAGAGGCTCCCCCTACCATCCTGTCCTCCAACCCCCACTCACCTGATTAGATAATCCTGGTTATCATTTTATTTTTTAAACACAGAGTTTGAACAGCTGATCCTAGATGGAGAGAGCCTTCCTTCTCTGATCTGTGTGATAACAGGTATCGCCAGGGACCTTCCAAATTCCCATATTAAATGGTAAATGATAAAAGGCATCTGCCTTTATTGTGTGTCTTACCTATGCCAGGCATGTGATGTTAGTTGTCTTGTCAATCCTGACCACAGCTCTCTGATGTAGGGTTTTCTACACTAGCTCGACAGAGGAAACGGAAGCTCAGAGGGGCCTGACGGCAGAGTGTGGCTTCTAGTTGAATCTTGGATAGCATAGCCTCAGAGATACTGAGCTTGGGATCCCTGGGTGGCGCAGCGGTTTGGCGCCTGCCTTTGGCCCAGGGCGCGATCCTGGAGACCCGGGATCGAATCCCACGTCGGGCTCCCGGTGCATGGAGCCTGCTTCTCTCTCTGCCTGTGTCTCTGCCTCTCTCTCTCTCTGTGTGACTATCAGAAATAAATAAAAATTAAAAAAAAAAAAAAGAGAGATACTGAGCTTTACTTCTGCATTGGTTTCCAGGCATCTGGTTGTTTTTATTTTTATATTTATTTACTTTTTAAAAAGATTTTATTTATTCATCAGAGACAGAGAGACAGAGAGAGAGAGGGGCAGAGACAGGCAGAGGGAGAAGCAGGCTCCATGCAGGGGGCCTGATGTGGGACCTGATTCTGGGACTCTAGGATCACGCCTTGGGCTGAAGGCAGGCGCTCAACCGTTGAGCCACCCAGGGATCCTCCCCAGCCCCACTTTTTTTTTTTTTTTAAATCAAAGAGTCTACTTTAAACCAAAGTGTTCAACATAACATTGCTTCCAGAGTAGCCCAGTGGGGAGAGAGAGAAGCAGAGAGCTGTGGTTAGAGCAGAGTCCAGGGCTAGGTACCCCACCTTGCATACTCCCCCCTCCTGGCCCTGGAGCTCCCAGGGGCAGCTAAAAGCCTACTGTACACACCGTGCCACCTGGGGGCATCAGGCAAGACACAGGCCAGTCTGGGTGAGAAGTTGTATCCAGTTGGCACTCTGGTGCCTGGCCAGAGTTTATTCTGATCACCTTCCCAGCCTGAGGTTTGCTGGATGCAGGTTGCTTGAGAGGAAGGGCCATGGCCTCAGTGGTCAGGGTGCATTACCTTGAGGGGTCTGCAAGGGGCCAGAGGGGGACCTGATCACAGCTACAGAGTATGGGCCTTCTGCTCATAACCATGCAGGGGTTCTGAGGTCTGAGGCCTTGGGGTGGAGCCAGGGGGCCCAGTGCAGTGACTCAGATTTTCTCTGCAAGGCAAAGGGCCTCTGAAGGAGTATTACTGCAGCCTCATCAGCCAGAAGCGTTTCCAGCACATCCAGGTCTGTACTCCGTGGCTGGAGGCCGAGGACTACCCCCTGCTTCTAGGTAAGGGCATCTGACAGGAGACCTGCAGGGAGATGGCTGGGGTTTAAAAGGGAATATCCTAGGGCAGGACAGGGAGAGTTTTTCTGAAAAAGGCTCAGATAATAAATGTTTTATCTGCTTCTATTGCATATTCTTTGATTTTACAATCCTTGAAAAATTAAAGGCCATTCTTAGCTTAAGGACCATACACACACAGGCCTCAGGCTGTATTGGGCCCTCCTCAGGCTACATGGGGCCAGGAGATGCCACCTGCCAGGAACTGCCCGAGGAGCTCTTGGCTGCTTCCTGGTGTGCTGGCTCCTCCTGCCTGTGGGGCCCCAGACGTCTTCCCCAGGGTTCTGTCCTCTCAGCTTCGAGCCTTCCATTCAGTCCTGCTCTTCCATCCGAGCAGAAGGGCTGGACCTGGGCTTGGGTTTGGGTTCCCCGTTCCCTAGATCTGGGAGGGCAGTGGCTTGGGAGGTGTGGAAATCATGCGTTAGCCAGCATTGACTCCCCCAGGCCCCTCACTGGCTTCCTGTGTCTTCCTTTCTCCCGGAGGGGCACGCTGGCCTAGTGCTGACATATCTCTAAGGCCTCAGCAGCAGCAAGCCAGTGAGCAGTCACGAGGGGAAAGCCTTTAGTTGGCAGGAGTTTCCAGCTAGTATCTAGTGACGCAGAGTTGTTTGTTTGGCTTTATTTTCACAGTGACAGCTGGTTTTCTGTTGGGTCTGCTATGGGTTTTTTCCCCCTAATTATTGTGGTAAAACACATGCAGTAAGATTTTGCTATTTTAACTATTTTTCCATTTTTAAGTATATGTCCAACTCAGTAGTATTAATTACACGCACAGTGTTGTACAGTCATCACCCCTATTTCCAAAACATTTTCATCACCCCAAGCAGAAACTCTGAACCCATGAAGCCATAATTGCTACAAGTTCTTTTTTGTCCCTAAAGATATTATTTATTTATTCATGAGAGATAGAGATGCAGAGACACAGGCACAGGGAGGAGCAGGCTCCATGGAGGGAGCCTGATGTGGGACTCGATTCCCGGTCTCCAGGATCACGCCCTGGGCCGAAGGCAGGTGCCAAACTGCTGAGCCACCCAGCTGTTCCTACAAGTTTTTTTAAGATGCGTTATGGTTAAGTAGACAAAGGGAGGCTGTTTGAATAAAACTATCCATGATAGGCAGGTGGTTTCCAAACAAGGTGGAGTGGCAGTTGGGCAGCACTGCTGTGTACGTCGCCTTCATCAGGTTGCTTGGCCACTTCCAGCCAGTTGTATGTAGGGTTGGGGGGCATTATTATCTGCTTTCTGTCCTTCTCCCCTGAGGTGTCGCTCCACAGTCCTTTTAGGATTTATGTTCAAGGGGTGCATGGCCTGCACTCTTACTGCGCCCTCTTGCCCCCACTGCGCAGGGTCTGCAGACCTGGGTGTGTGCCTACACAAGTCCTCTAGCGGCCTGGACCTACCCATGAAGGTGGTGGATATGTTCGGGTGCTGTCTGCCTGTGTGCGCTGTGAACTTCCGATGGTAGGTGATGATGGTAGGAGCAGAAACCGAATCTTCCCCGAGTTAGGTTCTCAAATCAGCTGTGGGGGTAGGGGTGGGAGGTGGGCAGCGAGGTCAGAATTGCTCAAGGAGCCCTCCTCCCGGAAAATCCTACATTGCCAGGTGGGCCTTGGGAGTAGGGCTCTTGGGGTTTCTATGGGTGAGCTTCCAATTAGAGCTGATGCTGAAGAAAAAAAATACGTGTTAAATATTCTACTCAGGAGCCTGTGCTCACGGACGGAGTGGTGGCTGGAATTGTCCACACGGTTGACATGGTTTTATTTCTCTCTCTGTCCCTTTTATCTGGGCTCATATAGTTGAATTAGTATCAGTTAAATGAGTGTAATTCTCTGTTTCCACTCTTCCTGGCAAAGATGGGTGTTTGGAGAGGGGGGTGTTAGGATAGGTTCTAGAAACAGTAGCCCCACCACTGGCTCAGTAGCCAGCCTCTGAATGGAAAATACAGGGTGTTAGACCCTGAGCTCTGGGCACGTGGGATTCACTCCCTGGTGACCTGGAAAAGTCACCCGTAATGTGTCAGGTCTACCTCCAGTGGGGTTGCCTTCTCCCTTGTTTCTCTGCCGTGCAACTGAGCACGTTCTCCCGGAAGAGAGTGCGTAGCAGGGAAGGTCAGAGTGTGTGCTTACTGTGCCTCCTTCACGGAATCAGTTTGGATCTTTAATGTGTATCTGCCCCTCCAGGCCTTTTTTCTATTCAGATGGCAAATCTCAGAACAGACTCACTGAGAGCAGACGGACTGTTCCTGACCCCAGGCTTACGCTGTGGGAGGGGTGGAGTGGTAGTACAGCTGGTACCACAGGGCTTTTCAAGGCAGCTCTCAGGTCTGTGGTTCTCTCTGCAGCTTGCACGAGCTTGTGAAACACGAGGAAAACGGCCTGGTCTTTGAGGATGCTGAGGAGCTGGCAGGGCAGCTGCAGGTAGTCACGTCTGCCCCACGCCAGGGCACCGAGCTATGCCCCCTGATTCTTCGCTCCTGCAGCCAGGCAGGCCTGTGCTGGGTCTGGGTGGAAGCCGAGATGGGCAGTGGTGGTCTTGGGCTGGGTCTCTGTGGGCTCGGTGCAGGGAGGGGGCCCCCCAGCCATGCTCTGACTGCACTCTGGGTTTGTGGACCTTACACCACACAGATGATGCTAGAGCTGGGGGATCATGTGCTGTCTAGGGAGCGACTGGTTCTTTGGGACAGTGAGCGAAGGGAGCTTCCTGAACCAGCCTTTCGGGGCTGTGGGCCGGCGTCTTATACTTACTACAAAAGGGACACATCATCAGTCTTGGCAACTGAGACCAGGGACAGACAGCAAACTTTCTGGAAAGGCCCAGATAGAAAATGTTTTAGGCTTTGCCATAGTCTCTGTCAGAAGTACTCCACTGTGCTGTAACGTGAAAGCAGCCACAGTTTGAATGAAGGGATGTGACTGTGGTCCAATAAAACTGTACTTGCAAAGACAGGTGGGGGCCAAATTTGGCCCACGGGCCTAGCTTCCAAACACCTGATGAAGTTTAGCAAAGCTGGAAAGAACACAGACTGCCTCGTTCCAGTATGTGGGCTGGACAGTGGTGGGCAGCAGCTGAGGTGGGAGTTCTTGGTAGAGGGAGCAGCGCGGCAGAGGCCGGGGGCACGGTGTGTGGATGGCCCCACTGTCAAGGAGGAGCAGAGTAGGGGATGGAGCATGGCTGGGGCGAGAGGCCTGTCCCAGCCCCGTGAGGAAGGGGCTTGCTGGGTCCAGGATATTAGGGTAGAGCTGTGTTTGACGACACTTAATAACCACACTTGCTGTGGAAGCTGGGCCAGAGTGGGAGGCCTGCTGGGGGTCCAGGACACTGGTAGTGGTTCTGGAAGTGCAGTGACAGAGGGTTTGAGGGTTTTAGTAGGATCACTGGCCGGCTGCCTGTGTTTGGAATGGGACAGGAGTCTCGGCTGCTAGGAAGGAGGGACAGCTCTCGACCTGGGAGGGGGTGGGAAGCAGTGATGAGGTAAGTTCTGGTCTTCGTTCTTATCCTAGATGCTTTTCTCAAAGTTTCCTGATCCTGCTGGCAAACTAAACCAGTTCCGGAAGAACCTCCGGGAGTCAGAGCAGCTTCGATGGGATGAGAGCTGGAAGCAGACGGTGCTGCCTTTGGTTATGGACACATGACCCCTTGGGCCAAAAACAGAGCTGAGTGTGGCCCGGTTCCTCTTAGCCCTGGGGAAACGCTTTAGAGCAGCACCTCCCAGTGGACAGCAGCTGGGAGGATGGCTGTGGAATGACATTTTTTAATGACCTGGAGTTTGTGGCCAGGAAACTGGTTCAGCCTGGTTTCCTCCCTAGGAGGCCCTGAAATATGAGACTCTTCTCATCTGAGTATTTCTTCCTACTACATTTCCTGTTGTTTGTGTGTAGTATTTTCTTTTTTTTTTTTTTAAGATTATATTTATTTATTCATGAGATACATAGAGAGAGAGAGGCAGAGACATGGGCAGAGGGAAAAGCAGGCTCATGCAGGGAGCCCGACGTGAGACTTGATCCTAGGTCTCCAGGATCATGCCCTGGGCTGAAGGTGGCGCTAAACTGCTGAGCCCCCCCCCCCCCCCCCCGCCCCTGCTCTATGTAGTATTTTCATCTCTTTGACCTGCTTTTGTTTTATGGTGTCTGCCTTTCCCAGTGTCTGCCCCATTGTGTCCTAATGTTTTAATTCCTGCCTTGAGGACAGTCACTGCAGCCTGCTGGGTTGTAACAGCAGTAAGACGTGCCACGAGTACAACGGGCTTGGCTTCAACAGGGATGTGGGTACAGGCTCAGGGGTGGGGAAACATACTTGATATGTTTTTATTGGCACAAATGAAATGCTTATTTCAAAATTTTCATTTTTGATTTATATAAGAACCAGAACTAGTGACAGAAAGGGGTATCTACTTGAATAGTTTATATTTTATTAGAACACAGTTTGCAGTTCCTGATTCTGAATTTAACATTCTTCAAGCATTCAGGTCCAGTGAAAATTTTATCAGCTTTCCCACATAAAAATTCTTTACAGGATGGTGATTAAATTTTCATGTTAATCTTTAAAAACATTTGTAAACCTACAGCATTAGTTTCAAAATTGCCATGTCTGAGTGTTCTTCATAGGGAAACAGCTTCTGGTCGTGATGAGGCACTGCTTCCCAGGGGATCCCAGCCTGGCCTGGAAATAATAACATATGTGTCACAGGATGGTGGGGTTTGGGGACACACCACCCTATATAGCGTGGGCTGCAGGACAGACGTAGGCGTATATACAAACCACAGACTTCTAGGCCCCATCTGGATACCTAGAATCAGCCTTCAGGGATGGGCCCAAGAACGGAGTTTTTAAATGGCCCACAGCAGCCAGCTTTGCTGCCCCTGCCTTCGGGGTCATGCCTGTCTCCGGAAGGTCGCAGACCTGTCTGGGTTTCCTGACCACTTAGTCTAGTGCCTTTTGGCAAAGGCTGGACATGCATCAGAAGGGCTTACATCCTCTTCATAAGCACAGATGTCTGAAGAGCCCTTGGCAAGGATCATTTTGTCATCCGTTTTTTGGGAATGAAAACAATTAATTAGAAAAATCAAATATTAGACCTAAAAGTATAGAAGTGTTGGAGTGCCTGGCTGCCTCAATTGGTGGAATATGCAACTCTTGATCTTGGGCTCATGAGTTCAAGTCCTACATTGGACCTAGAGCTTACTTAAAAAAAAATTACATGTGTGTATGTGTGTCTATGATCCTGCCACCAAGTATAACAACTGTTAATTGGTGTATATTTTTTCAGATTCTCCCCCTATGCAAATTAACATGAAGATGATTAGTTTTAAAAATACAAATGGGCTTGGGGTGCCTGAGTGTGGCTCAGTTGGCTAAGCGTCCATCTCTTGATTTCAGCTCAGGTCGTGTTTCCAGGTTGTGAGTGTGAGCCCCAGGTTGGGCTCCCCACTGGGCATGGAGCCTACTTAAGATTCTCTCTCTGGAAAAAGAAAAAAAGATTCTTCCTCTTTCCCTCTCAAAAAAATACAAATGGACTTTATATATATGGTGTTTGGTACTTTGCTTTCCCCACTGAAACCAAATCACAGATACCTTTCACATAGTATCTGAAGGAGGAATTCATTCTTTTTCAAAGCTACGTCTGTGAGACATGGGCACATGTGGGCGTCTGCCAGCAGAGGTGGCTGTCAGTGGGGCTCTGCTTGGGGGGATGGGTTGGGGTAAACATGGTCCACTGCCCCCAGGTTGCACGTGGAAAGCCCTGCCTGGGCCTGGCACGTGGTGGAGATTGCAGGGCAGTGGCCGGTGGTTGTGGGGTAGGAGAGCGGAGGGTGGGAGTCAGCTGCCTGGCTCCACTCAGGCTTAGGAAGTCACTTAGCCCCCCTGCACCCCAAGGTTTCCAAGGGTGAGACTGGAGGATGACAGCACACCCCTCCCTGGTGCTTGAGGGGCTGACATGGCTGCAGCAGTGCCCGTTCAGGGCGTAAAAGGCAGAGGCCCCCCTCCTTCAGAGTCCGCCCTGCTCTTCATTTACTGGGTGCTTAATATAGTGATAGCAGCTACCATGTTCCCGAGTGCTCCCTGCATGCTGGTCCCTGTGTCACCTCCCAGTGGATGTTTCCACTATAAAGATGAAGACGGGGAGAGGAGTGGGGGCACGGCTTTACCAGAGGAGGTGGTGGGATCTGCTCCAGAGTCTGCACCCCACCACTGTAGCCAGAACTCATCTACCCTGACACCCACTGGCATCCACCATCCTCCCCATTCTACAGACCAGGAAGCAGGCCTGAAGGCCTTGAAACTTGCTCTAAACACACAGTAGGACTGCTGCATGAACTGCCTCTTCGCCTTCAGAGCACAGCTTCTCAGCCCTGTTTCTCTACTGACCACCCCGGGGGGGGGGGTCCATACCCAGCATGCCATGTGTTCTGGGGCTTTTTGGTTTGTTTCCAGGGCCCCATTCCTTTACTTTGCTGATTTCTGTGTCACTGGAGTCCTGTGTGGGGCCCAGGTGGCTTCTCAGAGACAGCAGCCCCTCCCAGGGCCCAGGGCTCACCCAGCTCGCTAGTGAACAGCTGGCAGGTCTGCGGGTTGCGGACAGTGAAGGCAATGTAGGCATCCGGAGCCTGCTGGCCCTTCAGGCAAGCAGAGAGCCTCTGCAGGACTCTGACCAGGGAGAGGACGGTTTCTGGGCAATACAGCACATCTGCAATGAAAACCTCAGGTTACTGAAAGGGGCTCACTGTAGGATTCAGGATCCAAGAAAGAGGGGGGGCCTGGTTGTGCTGACCTCAGCAGCAGGCCTGGGGCCTAGAAACAGCAGTTTTACTAGATTCATGCTATTGGACCCAAAGAAGATGACATAGTTAAAAAGGGAAACAGGAGAGAAAAAAAAAAAGCGGCTGAAAGATCCTGCAACAAATGGAAAATATCCAGGATCCACTGGTGTTCCTCCAAAAAAAAAAAAAAAAAAAAAAAAAGATTAATTCTGGAGTGCCTGAGTGGCTCTGTCAGTTAAGTGTCTTCCTTGAGTTTGGGTCATGATCCATGATCCTGGGGTCTGGGATCAAGTCCTAGTCAGGCTCCCTGCTCAGCAGGGAGCCTGCTTCTCTCTCTGCCCTTGCCTCTGTCTTCTCTTTTGTTTACTCTTTCTCAAATAAATAAAATCTTTAAAATAAATCAATTCTTTGCCTATGGTCTATTTAGAAGATGCTTAACAAAGGGGCGTCTGGGTGGCTCAGTTGGTTAAGTGTCTGCCTTTGGCTTGGGTCTTGATTCCAGCGTCCTGGTATCCCAAGTCGGGCTCCCTGCTCAGCAGGGAGTCTGCTGCTTTCTCTCCCTGCTCTTAGCGCTCTCACCTGTGCTCTCTCTTCAAATAAATAAATAAAATCTTAAAAACAAAAGAAGACACTTAAGCAAACCCCAACCCTCTCACACTTCTTGTTTCCAGCAGCCTGCTGCTTGGTTCGCTGCATGGAGGTGGGGCAAACTCGCTCCCTGTGGGCATGCTGACGTGGGATGGTGCCGCTCAGGCTCTGTGTCCTGGCCACTGTAGGCCTGTGGGTCTCGGTTGCCGTCCAGGACCGGAGGCACAGCACGGTCAGCCAGATAGGGGACTGTGTGTGCTTCATGGGGGACAAGGGGCCTGTTGGTTGTACACCCCTTGCCTCCAGGACCCTGTCCTTATACCTGAAGTGGTTGTCCCCTCCCTGTGGGGCTCATTTCTGAAAGATATGGGGGCAAGGACCAAGGACAGAGATGGGCAGGGAGAGCCCTTGGGTCAGATGTGCAGACCTGTGGTGACAACAGAGCTGTGTGCAGACACAGGAGCAAGTGCTCCAGGGGTTGGGGCATGCAGAGCTCATTCCGACTCGACACTACCATAGTCTGACCCTAGGCCTGGCCCAGGGCTGGGTGTCTGTGACACGCATAGGAATCAGACATGGTCCTGGGAGAACCACGCTATCCCTCGCAGCCCTGAAAATACAGGCCTGCCATGGCCATTTCTGCCCCACATCTGAGGTCTGGGTGGTGGTGGAGGTGGTGGAGGGAGCTGGCGTTCAGCTCCCTTGCTTCATGGGGTTGCTCTGGGCATTTCACTCAGGTTCTAGAGAGGGACATAAAAATCCCTCTACTCAGCTGCAGCCTGGCTAATAGGTCAGACTGGTTTGGTGCCTGGGGCCTGTTCTCTCCATTTCAGGCTTTGCAGAGAAAAGTTGGGTTCATTTATCTGACGGAACCATTTTAACAAGAGTACAAGTGGCCACTGTGTCAAATGGGAGGGCTGTGGCTTTAGGGCATCTGAGAGGCATGCCCTGTGGTTTGATGTCACCCTGGAGGCCCACAATGGCCCTTCTAGAAGTCTCATCACTCCTTTGCCCTGGCAGCGTGCACATTCCCAGAGCTGAGAGCTGGGTGGAGCTGTTCTAGTTGCCCCGGGTGGGGGGCAGTACCTGCTGCTATGATTACATCTGGCTGGAAGGCAGCGAGCTGAGGGGCTGTCACGACATCCCAGTCCAGCTGGGCCACTGTCACCTTGGGGCTCTCTGAGTCGTAGGTGTTGTGTCCTGGGTGCTGTGCAGGGGCAGTGGCATCTGGCTCCAATGAGAGGCCATTGAGAAGGACGTTTCCTCGGAGTTGCTCAAGGACACAGCTGTGATAGTCACTGAAGACGTAGGTGCTGGGGCAGCATGTCTTGCAAATGGCCAGGCCCGTGAGGCCAGCTCCACTGCCGAGCTCTAAGACAGTCCTGGGTGGGAGAAGGGGGCCTGTGCTTGAGACCGTGCTGGGGAAACCCCGCCTCCCTGCCCTGGAGCGCACCCCGAGGTCACCTGTGAGCAAACGCGGCCGGGTTCTGTATGGCCCATTCTGCAAGGTACAGCGCGGCGTCCCACGTGACCAGGCCAGTGGTGCCGTGGGAAATGATGGCTGTGCTCTCAGAGAGCGTGACCGAGTCTCCAGAAGGCTGAGCGGAGACACACAGAGAGAATAAATTCAGCTACCAGGAGACAAGAAGCTGATTTTAAAAAGAAATCACAACAGGTGGATGGATGGCTAGAGAAGACTATGGAACATCCGGCCACAGAGTACTACACAGCCTCGGACAGGAACAGGTTATCACTGTGCACGCACGCCAGCCCAGGTGGGTCTCGAGGGTGTTAACGCTACATGAAGAAAGCCACACATTGTGGGATTCCATCAACTAACCTCAAAATGATGGAACCGAGGAGAGGGAGAACAGAGTAGGGGCTGCCAGGTGGGGATGGCGGGGGCCGGGGATAGGCAAGGCCTGAGGGAGGTTTTTGGGTGACAGAGTAGGTCAGAATCATGATTGTGGTGGTACCGACAAGGACCCGCTCATGTGACAAATGAGGTACACCTACACAGGCATGGTGTCTACGCCAGTGTCCTGGTTGTGATGCTGAGCGAGTTAGGTCCCACATTTCCAGTGGGGGAATCTGGACAGAGGGCACCTTTCTATACTGTTCTTGCAATTTCTGTGAGTCTATAATTACTAACAACAAGAAAAAGGCATCATGAGCTATATGTGAAAAATCTCAGTGTGTGGGGCCTTCCTCAATTCAACCCGTCATTTGGGGCTTGGCCCTTGAACTTTCCCGTCACCCTCATAGCAGGTGGTTTGCTGGCAAGTGGTTCATGGAACATGCAGTCCTGAAATGTGTTCTTCAAAGCGGGACTTCTGAGTGTGGCACCTCCAATATGCACTCGGGTGGTTTCCTGCTATCTCTGAGTTTACAAAACTCTTATTGGAGACTCAGGTCTCTGGAGTACTGAGCAGTCATTTGTTCATTCATTCATCCACACATTTTTCCTGAGCCATCTCCTAGGGTGCTGGGGATTCAGATGTGACAAGACCAAGTCATTCCCTGTTCTTAGGGAACTTACATGCCAACAGGGGATAAAACCATAGTAAATGAAGTAACTTCTCAGTTTTTCAGTGCTATGAAGAAAATAAAAAGGACTACATGATAATAGAGACTGGGAGTCTATTTCAGCTAGTTTGGTCAGAGACAGCCTCTTTGAGGAGGTGTCAGGTGACCTGGGATGTGAGTATAAAGAAGTGAGGCATGTGAGATTTTAGGAGAGCATTCCAGGCAGAGCAGGTGCAAAGGCCCTGAGGCAGCATTTCAGTTGGTGAGTTCAAGGAAGGCAAAGAATGCCAGAGGTCTGGAGCATAGGGAAGGCAGGAGGAACGAGACGAGAGAGGGAGGCTGGGGCAGGGCATGCAGGGCCTGGCAGGCCACATGAAACAATAGTATGGGTCTGAGTATGAAGGGAAGCCACTGACAGGTTCTGGGTGGTTGAGTGACCTGCTCTGATTTATCTCTTAAATGAAGGGGAGCCCTCTGGGGGTTCTGGGAGTATAGTTTTGAATCTTCCTGAATCCCCACATACAAATAGAGTAGCGAGATATGGACAACGTTCAGCAAAACTAGGTGAACCCAAAATATTAACAAGTGGGGGCAAATCACCAATAAACTCAAGACTTGTGTGTTCCACGCATCTGTGCAGTGGGGTGCGCTACAAGTCTGAGGACAGAACCCCAGCAGCCAAGTGTTCACTGGCAATGCAGGTGCCAGGTGTGAACCACGGCCCATGGAGGAAAGAACTTGCTGCTCCAGTCGTCTGGGGTGTGAGCGACCCAGGGTGAGGCCTAATGGCAACCAGAAACACTCAGAAATGTGTGACGAGAACATGAAAACATTTCAGATGTCGAGATACATGAGGAGAACATGAGAATGAAAACAAAACATAAAAACCAGATAAGCCCATTAGAGAAATGAGGTAAAAGAGAAATTTAAAAAAATTTTTTTGGAAGATTTTATTTATTTATTCATGAGAGATACAGAGAGAGAGAGAGAGAAATTGAGACATGGGCAGAGAGAGAAGCAGGCTCCATGCAGGGAGCCCAATGTGGGACTCGATCCTGGGATCTCAGGATCATGCCCTGAGCTGAAGGCAGACGCTCAACCACTGAGCCACACAGGCATCCTAGGAGTGAAACTTTAAACATCAAAAAGAAATTAAGAAAGAGATTGTTAGGGATTGATTTTTTTTTAAAGATTTTATTTATTTATTCATGAGAGACACAGAGAGAGAGGGGCAGAGACACAGGCAGAGGGAGAAGCAGGCTCTATGCAGGGAGCCCAATGTGGGACTCCATCCCAGGACTCCAGGATCACGTCCTGAGCCGAAGGCAGATGCTTTAACCGCTGAGCCACCCAGGCACTGATTTTTTTTTTTTTTTAAGATTTTATTTATTCACGAAAGACACACAGAGAGAGACAGAGACATAGGCAGAGGGAGAAGCAGGCTCCCCACTGAGCAGGGAGCCTGATGTGGGGCTCGATCCCAGGACCCTATGATCATAACCTGAGCTGAAGGCAGACACTCAACTGAGTGAGCCACCTAGGTACCCCTTGAATTACAATTTTTAGTATTTGTTCTTTGCTTTCATTTTCCGTGAAAGTACCTAAAAATGGGTGTCTTAAACAACAGTAATTTATCATCTCACGGCTTAGGAGGCCAGAAGTCCAAAATCGAGGTATTGGCAGGGCTGGTTCCTTCTGAGGGCTATGAGAAAAGGATGTGCTCCCAGCCTCTCTCCTCAGCTTGCCGACGGCTGTCTTCTTGCATCTTCATATCATCCTCCCTCTGTGCCTGTCTGTGTCCTAATCTCTTCTTACAAGGGCACCAGTCCTATTGGGTTAGGGCCCACCTAATGACCTCATCTTAATTTGATTCTCTCTGTAAAGACCCTACCTTCAAATAAGGTCCCAGTCCTGAGGTTCTGGGGGTTAGGACTTCAACATGTGAGTTTAGCGGGAGGGCACAATTCAGCCCCTAATAGGGGCACCTGGGTGGCTCTGTCTGACTTCAGCTCAGGTCATGATCACAGGGTCCTGGGATCGAGCCCCACATCAGGCTCCCTGCTCAGTGGGGAGTCTGCTTCTCCCTCTTCCTCTCCCCCTGCTCATGCTTTCTCTCTCTCTCTCAAATAAATAACAAATAAATAAATCTTTTAAAAAAAAGTAATTCAAGAAAACATTCCTGAAAAAAACAAAACGATTTGAAATAAACATTGAAGGAGTACACAGTGCATCCGAGATCACTGACCAAGAACAATCAATCTTGAGATACATTCTACTTAAAATTCTGGACTTTAAAAAGTCCTCTGGGGATCCCTGGGTGGTGCAGCGGTTTGGCGCCTGCCTTTGGCCCAGGGCGCGATCCTGGAGACCCCGGATCGAATCCCATATCGGGCTCCCAGCGCATGGAGCCTGCTTCTCCCTCTGCCTGTGTCTCTGCCTCTCTCTCTCTCTCTGTGACTATCATAAGTAAATAAAAATTAAAAAAAAAAAAAGTCCTCTGGCCATTTAAGAGTAAAGGGCATAGGGCACAAATAGGAAAGGATAATAGGTTATTACCAGGCTTTCCCACAGCAACACTCCATGCTTAGGAAGATGGAGGAATATATTCAAGAAATTCAAGGAGAGAGAAAGGCGTGCATTTTGAGCTTCTATAAGGACACAATTTGCAGCAATGGATTGTATCCCTTCTGGGTATGGTGGAAAACCAACTCACCGTGTTGACAAAGAATCAAGTCTGTATCCTGCCTTTCCTCTATGGGCTCTATCAGTGGGTAACCAAACAGTGGATAAAGGGGGGCATCTCATAAAATCTCTCTAGTCAATGAATGGAAACAAAGCAATAGAATTAGAATACCACCCTTTTGTGTCTTCCAATGGATAAAGAATGTAAGCTTTGAGCATCTGTAACTGCTCCCATAACAGAGATGATATGCCTCCTAGAGCCTCGTGTTGTATTTTTGCCAAAGGAATCAGGCAGATGCGAGTCTGATTGGGCTCCCAAATCCAGCCCCTCAATTAGTGGGGAACAGAGGATGGAAGACCCAGCTGAATAGCACCATGCACAGGTAACCAAGTCCAGCCTGTGGAAAGCTCTCCTGGCCTGTTCAACAAAGGCACTGCCAGGGAAGAAATAGCTGGAGGGGACCTTACACGAGACCTAAACGCTGGAGTCCCGAGGTACATGGGGCAGGAGAAAACCACAGAGTGACTACTCCAAAGGCCCTGGTGGTTACTTCTGTGAGGATGGAGGGCTTGCAGGCTGGCTGCCAAAGTTCTGCCCCTGACTGGAGAAGTGGTTACCACGGTGGCCACCTTGCAACAATTCAGTAAGCTGTGCACATTTATTTTGTGTGGTTTCCTGTATCTGTGTTTTATTTTATAATGAAAGGTAAAAAAAACAAAAACAAAACACAAAAAACAGGGACGCCTGGGTGGCTCAGTGGTTGAGTGTTTGCCTTCTGCTCAGGTCATGATCCTGGGGTCCTGGGATTGAGTCCTGCATCGGGCTCCCCATGGGAAGTCTGCTTCTCCCTTTGCCTGTGTCTCTGCCTCTTTCTCTGTGTCTCTCATGAATAAATAAATAAAATCTTAAAAAAAAGAAAAAAAAAGGTAGAAAACAAACAAAACCCAAGATCCCTCTAACTGTTGTATGCAGAATGGGTTTCAGAAGCTAGAAGACCCAGAAGCTGTGGGCCCAGAAGCTAGAAGATCAGTCCAAGGGCTGAGGCATTTTTCAGGCCAGTGAGGATGGTGGCCACGGGCAGCACAGAGAGACTGCTGTCCTGTAACAACCATCCATCAAGTATTTACTGAGGATTGAGTACCTGCTATGCGATTATGTGCATGACCTGACTTAACCCCCAACCACCCCATAAAATAGGCACTGTTATGTGTTGAAATGCTTGGTTTACAAGGAGAAACCAAGTCTCAGGGTGATTAACTGACCTCCTCTAATACCTCAGAACTGACAGGTCAGGAGTCTGAGTTTCAGCTCTGTGTGCAGGGGTGGATGTCTGGATTATGTGGGGAGGGTGCTCGTCTCCTACCAGCAGATAGCTCCGGTGGCACTGGGTGGGCTCCTTGGCCATCAGGACCTCTGCCAATGCTTCGTACAGTTCATCCAAAGGCTCCGTGTGGACAGCCTCGTGCTGGGGGTGGGCAGAGCAAGAACTTCAGCCAAGAGGTTTAAGTTGACCCTCAAGAATCAAACAAAGGTTCCATGTGTTTGCTTTTACTCTTACTTGTAAAAATGGCTGGAGGGTTTTTACCAAATTTGGATGGGAGATTTGGTATGGATTGACTTAATATAAGCCACCTTGCATATAAAAAATTCATTTGGTAGTGGAGCTGGACAGTATCTCGGGCATAGAGAGGGTGAGGGTGAGGTGTACTCTAGGGCAGCAGAAACAGGATTGCATGAGCTGCCGTGTGACGGTGACAGAGAGCTCTGCCCTTTAATCATGACATTGTGGATGGATCAAGCTACTAGTGCTTTTAAGTGAGCTCAGGAAAAAGCCACAGGGATGGGCACTCTACATGTTGTGGTTGGCTTCATCAATGGGCAAACCTCTGTCATGCATCTTAGAGGGTCAGCAGCGGGGGGCCATGCTTCTCCTGGTGGTTTTGGGGGGGGCGGTACATGCAGGCCCTGAGTAGATGCACATGTTGGTGAGAACCAGGTGGGGAGAAACCAGGATTGTTTCACGTGCTAAGCCTGGGTGAGACATGGCCCATGCATTCAGTGGCCGAACACAGCAGGTCTGATGCTGACCACTAAGGATTCACCTCTGTGGTCCAGTTTAATGTGAAACGCAGCGAGCTTGGGCTCATTCTTAAAATACATGCTGTATCTGATGGGATGAGCTCTAGGTGTTGTGCTATATGTTGGCAAATTGAATTTAAATAAAATATTAAAAAAAAAAAAAAAACAAAACAAGCTGTGTCAGTCAGGAAAAGAGCCCACATCGGTAGCTCATTAAGGAGAAGATAAAGGGAACTGGTTATGAAGATACTGCGAGCCCTAAAACCTCCAATAGAGGGCAGTGTGGCAATCCAGAGATTGGTAGAAGCAGGAACCAGTCAAGACCCTGCAGGCTGGCTGGCTTGGGGGGTGGGGGGCTGGGACCATGGAGGAAATGCAGCTGCCGCTGGAGACCTCTTGAAGCACAGAGATGCCCTGGCCTCTCTTCCTGCTGCTCCCCATCGCCTCTGACTGGTCGAACCCCGATGGGAACAGTTACACAGGGAGACCCCTGACATATGGGGCTCTGCAGAGCAGGCAAAGGGCATGGGACAAATCCGAGCTCCAACAGGCAAAGCTAGGCAGAGTCTACTTCGGGAGAGCCAGCCAAGTCCCAGGTGCTCTGTGGCTGCCAGACGGACAGTGCCCATTACTGACCTTTCTGATGAGCTCCGAGAGAAAGCACCGGGCATATTTCACTGACGGCGGATGCTTCACACACAGAGGATGCTTCACGGTCTGTGGCAAAAGACACAATGTGGGCTGCTGGAGAGATGTCGCCATAAGTCTCTCATAAGCCTCAAGTAAATACAGGGCAACTCCATTACTTGATCCCTCAGAAAAGATGTGTACAGACACAAGCATTCTGGGTTCAGGCGACCCTCAGGCATCTGAAACAGTAAGTCTTAAGATACAACTTCTTTTCTAAAGAAATTTCTCCATGACAGTGGCACAGGCCAACAGAACATTCTGGGCAGAACATGGAGCACGTGGACCCAGGCTAACACTCTGCTACAGACTCAATGTTTGTGTCTCCCCAGTTCGTATGTTGAAGCTTAACCCCCAATGTGACAGTTGGAAGGCAGGGCCTTTGGGAATGATTAGATCGTGAAGGTGAAGCTTCCATGAACGTGATCAGTGCCTTTCTAAGAAACCCCAGAGAGCTCCCTTGGTCCTTCACGGAGGACACAGCTGTCTATGAACCAAGAAGTGGGTTTCCCACCAGACATCAAATCTTGGGGCACCCTCATCTTGGTCTTCCCAGCCTCTAGAACTGTGGAAAATAAATTGCTGTTGTTTATAAGTCACCCAGTCAATGGCATTTTGTTCTAGCTGCTGGAATGGGTCACCTCTTCCCAGGGTAGGCAATGTGAACTAGTTTTCAGTGGGGACAGTTGTGGGATTGTCCGGCTCCTTGGAAAAGGTGAGAGCCCAAACAGTGGGCACTTGCTCTCCTGGAGCTCACATGCCAGGATGAGGCCGAGTACTATGATGGTGGGACAGGGGGAAAGTGGGGGCTCTGCCTCGGGTGTGGTGGAGGGAAAGGGGGCTCTCGGGGGGGGGGCACTTCAGCTGATGTCTAGAGAAGCAAAGAACGTGGGGGGGCAGGTTCTAGGCAGAGAGGATAGTTTGTGCAGGCTCTGAGGCAGGCATGGCCTGGCATTTTGGGAAGGAGGGCAGGGGAACAGAGGCAATGAGAGTAGGGGCCAGGTCACGTGGAGGGACAGGATTTTATCCAAGGGCAACAAAATACCTGCACAACCCTTCAGGGGCTTTCTAGTTGGCTGGTGTTAGGTTTTAGCCTCAGAGTGGGCTGCCCCACAAGGACCTCAGAATCTCTGAGCTCATAGTCCTGAATGACTGGATTGCCCTGCAAGCCTCTCCTAGCCATGGCTGCATCTTCTCCACCTGGGGATCAGACCATCTTGGTTTACCCTTGACAAAGGAATTCCTAATCTAGGCTTCTTGGACAGGCTTGGTGGTTGGGGGGGTGCCTATAACCCCTTGAATTTGTACACAAAATGTATTCTTCTGGTCCTCTTTTTTCTTGGTGAGGGACAGGGGGAACCAGAGAGCCCATAACTTTGGGTTTTCAGAAGGGTTCATGATCCTTAAGAGAATTCATAGCCAGGATGCAGTGTGATCTCCACTTGATTCGCATGGCCAGGGTCAGGGTGGGGCAAGGCCAGGCAGAGTGGTGGTCTCACCTCTACCCTTGCCCAGATGTACCTTAGAATTCAAACCCTACCTCAGAAAGGCAGGACGTATCTACATTTAGAAGAGAAACGAGTGGGCAAGACTTGTCTCCTTATTTTTTCCTTAAATGTAAATGTAAAGAAGAAAGCCTTTGAGCAGCTACCAAATGCTAGATGTTTCCATAGCTGTCATCTTGGTTTTCATTGTGGATGGTTTCAAAAACATCTCCCAGATTCCCTCCTCGCATGCAGATTTTGTATATTCTAATGTCTTCATCTAAGAAAAACAACAGAACCAGAGCTGTCTGAGGTGCTGCCACCCAAACGCAGTGTCTTTCTTTTTAAAGGCTACAAGTGCGCCCACTGCATTTCTGTCATGTCCTCATGGGCAAGTCAGGAAGCTGGTGATGCGACCCAGTGATTCTAATTCTTACCTTCTGCAAAATAATCAACAGCAGCTCAGGACCTGATGAGTCTCTTAATTTCTCTTCTAGGCTCTATTTAGAGAGAGAGAGTGGAGGGGAGAGAGAGAAATCTCAAGGGCATTTTCACAGGAACATTAAACATGCAATAGGACATGTTAGCAAAGTGCTAAGTGATCTCTCCCCAGGGACAGGGGGCCAATTTGAAGTGGAAGCCACAGGCAGACTGAAAGCCTGAACTTGAGAAGTTCTGGGTTACACCTGAGTGAGCCAAAGAAAGAATGTCAGAAGACAGACTCTTGGTTTGCATTAGCTCTGACTGCTTGGGCTTGCCTGGGTCACAGACCAGCTCCGTGGCTGAAATGGTCAACCAGGAATTGCAGGAGAAGCCACGACATTGACATCTGATGGGCTCACCTTAGATTTGACATCTGAGTTATAATGGACAGACAGGCCAGGCCAGGTTATGCTGTCCTGACAGGGAACTCCAGCCGAGCAGCGAGGTCAGCCTCTAGAAGTAGGCAGTCTGGTCCTGGCTGGTGTGTGACATCAGGCAAATCACTTCATTTCTTCAGAGTGACTAATGCTCTAAAAGGCCTGTAAGCCCTGGCCCTTGCCCCTGTCTCTGACCTTATCTGCCACCACCCCTGGCCTCTCTGCCATTCCTCAACTGTAGCAGTTTATTCTGTCAGGGCCTTCCTGTCCAGGTTCTACCTCAAATGTCACCTCTTGGGGAAGGCCTTCCTGATTCCCCTACTTTGATGATACATTTCCCTGTTTTACTGGCTTTACAGCTACTGTCATCTCCTGGTGTTTTCTTGCTTATTCATTTACCTGTTTATTCTCTGGCCCTTCCATCCAAGCAGGACCTCATCTGTAATGTGTGCTGCTGATTCTTGGTGCCCAGGTCATGGAAGGCATTCAGAAAATATTTGGTGATGGAATAAAAATATTAGCTAACACTTACATTCACTTGTGACGAGCTAGGCACTGCCTCAGGTGCTTCATACTCCTGTAATCCTGACACCAGCCCTATCATTATATCCCCACTTAATAAGAAACCTGAGGTATAGGAGAGATGCAGTCACTTGCCCAAGGTCACACAGCTTGTGTGGGGTTTGGCTAGGATCCCAAACAGGCAGGCTGGTTCCCAGGCCTGAGCTCCCCACTGCTGCACTCTGCTTCTTTACTAATCAAGCAATCTTTCCTGTCAAATGTGAATAGTAGTAACAGTATCCACTGGCATGGCTGTTGTGGACCAGTCTAAGTAAGCATTTATCATGGGCCTGGTACAGAGTAAGCAGTCATTTTCATGTGAATAATTATAGTCAATATCGAATTGGGACCCATAGATGCTGTTACGAAGGTTTACATTTTGGGTTAAAAAATGATCATATTCCTTTCTGACTGTAAAGACCTCTCAGAATGCTAAATGGGTTAGGTCAATGAGACACAAATGACTAACCACCACCCCTTAAGATGGAGCAGACTTAGGGGAGGAATATGTGCCCAATCTGAGTCATCCCAGTGAGCTCACCGTACATGAATTATGAAAGAGGCAGCATCGTGAGAGCCCCTGCATTGGCAGAAGGAAGCGGCTGCCACAGTCATTTGCCCGTGCAAGGGCAGGTCCCTGGGGCAGGGGAAGTGAGACTTCTTCCATCTCTTCTCTGGCCTGTTTTGTACCTCCCTGTCTCTTCCATCACAGGCATAAGAGCCTCAAAGTGCCCCTGCAAGGATTCTGTCCAATGCTTGATGGTACAGATGAGAACGCCGAGGCCTGGCGGGGGAGGAGGGCTGTGGTGTCTGTGACTTGGTCACTGCCCTCCTTGCAACGCGGTCCCCCTGGGGTCCTGAGGATGTTGACTGTTTAAATCGGCAGCAGCAGCCAGGGGCACCTGGGTGGCTCAGGGATTGAGCAGCTTCCTTGGGCTCAGGTCATGATCCTGGGGGGGTCCTGGGATGCTGGGGTCCTGAGATCGAGTCCCACATCGGGCTCCCTGCACGGAGCCTGCTTCTCCCTCTGCCTGTGTCTCTGCCCCTCTCTGTGTTATCTCTCATGAATAAATAAATAAAATCTTAAAAAAAAAAAAAAAAAAAAGAAGGGCAGCAGCAACTGTTACCCAATGGCCAGAACGACAATAGGCTAAATAAACAACAACAAAAAAGTAATGAAACTGATCACGATTTGTCCCGGGCTCTAACCCCCGAGTGACACAGGGAGGTGGGAGGTCACCCCTGCATTCCTGGAATTCGTGGACTCAGTCTGCAAAGGCAGCCAAGGGCGGTTAGGGCCCCGGGAGCAGGGAGCGGAAGGCCGAGTGCTGGCTGGACAACCCCCCCCCCGCCCGGCCCCCAGCGCGCACCGGTGTGCCTCCGCCGCTCACCGCCAGCCCGCGACCCCCTCCCCCTCCGGACGCGCGGCCCCGAGCACGCGAGGGAGCCGAGAACACCACGCGGCGGGGGGAAGGGGGCGGGCGCCCGGAGCCCCCTCCCCCATCGCCCCCCCGCCCCCGTCGCCTGTCCCACCTCCCACCTGCCAGGGGAAAGAGCGCAGCGTGCGCGCCGCCAGGTAGCGGCGCTCGAAACTCTGCAGCAAGCCCGCGGCCTCGGCGCTCTCCTCCGGCGCCATGGCAGGGCGAGGCGGGGCGGGGCGGGGCGGGGCGGGGCGGGGCCGCGGCGTTGCCCGGGAGACGGGGCGGCAGGGGGCGGGGCCAGGTGCCGCGGGCGGCGTGGGAGGCGGGGCCAGGGTTGGATGGGGAGGGGCCGCGGCGTTGCCCAGGAGACGGGGCGGCCGGGGGGCGGGGCCAGGGTTGGATGGGGGCGGGGCCTGGAGGTTGAGGGGCGGGGTCAGGGCTTTGGCGCCAAGACCGTGCAGGCGAGAGGCGACGGCTCTCTGGCAGCTTCCAGTCAGGCGAAGGGCAAGGTAATCATTCTCGCTGTTCCCGCTACTTCACGAGGGTCCTTTTGGCGGCAACCGAGTGGACGGACGCATGGCCCCTCCGCCTTGCGCTCCTGGGAGCGAGGGAGCCTCGCTTTGCAAGCCTGTGCCCCAGACCCGGGGTGGGCCTTCGCAGCCCTGCCTTCAGCTCAAGGTGCGGGTTCGCCGCTCAGGGCGGGCAGGACCCAGGGGACGCCGCAGGAGGAGCGGCCCCCCAGCCCCGCCAGAACCTGACGCGTTCCCCCTGGAGACTATGGCGCGGTTCAGTCCCCTCTGCGGTCCCCGTGCGCTCCCCAGCGCGGTGCCCCGGCGGGGCGGGGGGAGGGGCCCCTGACCTTGGCAGGGTCAGGTCGAGGTCACATCCTCGCCGCGACCTCCTCTACAGCAGGCAGGACCACCCCCAGCCGCCGGGCCTGCCCCTAACTCAGTCAGTCTTACCCTCACCAGACACTTATGAAGCGCCTACTGTGTGCTCCATGCTGTCAGGCGCTGGGGGAAGGGGATGCAACCGTCAGGGAACCCGTGAGGGAACCCGGGAGCCGTCCCTGCCCGTGGGGGGCTCCGGGGCTCGCGCGGACGACGGTAGGCCCTGAGCTGAGGGCCAGACAAGTGTGGGGAGAGGTGCCTGCGGCAATACCTGCCGAGCAGGTGAGCTCCCGGAACTAGGAGGACTGGCTGGAGAAGTCTGACTTTGTCGGGGAAGGAGGGTGAAAGAAGAGTAAGAGGGCTTCTGGGGTGGTGGGGGTGGGGAAGGAAAGGAAAAAATAATTGTTTTCCTTACGCGTTGTTACGTCTGGAGTGAAAGGCAGGAGACTCGGCAGCCCACCGTGCTGCCCCTGGAAGTTGAGCTGTGCTCGCAGTCTAACGCGCTTCCTTTTAGTACATCTCTCATAAAACTCCATTTGGAAGATTCGAGAGCTAATTTGCTAAATATACTTGCAGAAGGTAGATGAAGGGACAGACTAAATCTTATTACCCCTTTCAGATGAGAAACACCGAGCCCTGCTCAGCTCCGAGAACGAGAGGAGAATGAATTCTAATTGAATGCATTTATTCTCCTATCTGTTGTTCTCCCACCAGCACTAGGTGAGCTCAGGATCCAACACAAGAATGGTTTTTCTTTTATTCCATTGACCCCGTTGATTTAAATAAAGATGGTGGACTGTGATTATTGCTGTGTTTTTACACAGAATTAATGGTTTCTGGGTCGCACGTTGCAGAAACCCCCTTAGTCATAATATCCTGAGGTAGAATCACTTGAGATACGGTGATGAGTCTCGGCCAGGGCTGAGTCTTGGTCCTAAGGGAATGACGCTTCAGAACTGGGTCAGGCGGATTGGTCCACTTTTGCTGTTTTGATCAGCTCTCTGCCTGCAGTAGACAATGAAAACCAGTGGGAAAGGGTCAAACTCATAAATATTAGGCTCATTCTGTTAACTCACATAATAGCTATTAATTGCCTTTCTTCTAAGGAGCAAAAGGGCATGTACAGTCAATGCCATAATAAGTAATACTGTATGATGTTATACTAGGATATTAATAAATCTAGGCTGGTTCAGCCTTCCCTGATGCCATAGAAGGAATGTAGATTGGGAAAGGCCCCCCAAGTGGGGCATAGCACCGACTTGCACTTGGAAGAAACCTTTACTTTGGGGTGTGAGCTCTTAGGAGAGACAAAGGTCACAAGGTCATATATCTCAGATCTGAATCTGGAAGAATCAAGGTACTGAAGGGATTTTTTTATGTCTCTGTGACCTCCTAGATGTACGTTCAGGTGTAAGAGATGATTAGGACTGCCGTTTAACACAAAAACTAAAAATTCCAGGGGGTGTCTATATGAAGAGAAGCATTACGACACATCCCATAGTCCTGCCAGCAGCAAGAGGGAATACGTATGTGCACATGCTATATTAAAGATTTGGTTTCTGGATTTGATGCTTCTAATAATAATAATAGTAATAGTAATAATAATAATAATAATAATAACCACCACAACCACCACCACCTACTACATTTTAACTGTATGGAATGGTTGCCTTTTAGAAATTATGCTGTGGGCATGGCAATTTAATCAGTACCTTGAAGTTTTTTCCTTTATCTCTCCTATAGCTAATGGTTTCTGTAGAAAAGGACCAATTGATTTCTTTTTAAAATGTTGCTTCAGGGTGTAGAGACCTTTATAGGTCATGTTTCAACTTATAGGAAATTTTTATAGTTCAAATATAAATTACATTAAATGTGGGTTTTGTAATGGAGTTAAGGTTAAGTAAAGTTCTCACTTTCCTTAGGCTGTTTATGGTGTTCAGGTGGCTTCCGTTCTATAGAGATAGGAGCTGTGTTAAAGCAGAATAATGGCCAGGGTTGGGTATAATAAGGAATATAATTATTGAGATATAGAAAGAGGTGCACCAGGCTCTATAATCCTATGGTTGGTGGCAGAACCAGTGTTATGAATTAGATTGTGTTTCTCCCAGAAAAAATGTTGGAAGTCCTAACCCCTGGTACTTAGGACCTTATGATACTAGTGACCTTATTTGGAAATAGAGTCTGCAGATATAATTAAGATGAGGTCATCCTGGCTACAGAGGGCCCTAAATACCATGACTGGTGTCCATATAAGAGAAGAGAACACGGTAAAGATAGAGACACAGGAAGAAGATGGCCATGTGATGATGGAGGCAGAGACTGGAATGAATTTATCTCTAAACTGAAGAATACCAAGGATTGCCAGCGACCACCAGAAGCTAGAAGAGGCAAGGAAGGATTCTCCCCTACATGTTTCAGAGGTGGCCTGGCCCTGCCGACACCTTGATTCTGGATATTTACCCTCCAGGTCTGCGAGACAATAAATACCTGTTGTTTTAAGCTACCTAGTTTGTGGTACTTTGTTACTGCAGCTGTGGAAAACTAATACAAGTGGTATGTAATTTGGGGGGCCCAGTACAATATGAACATAAAGGGTCCTTGGTTTTTTTTTTTTTTTTTAGGTTTTATTTATTCATGAGAGAGAGAGAGAGACAGAGACATAGGCAGAGGGAAAAGCAGGCTCCCCACAGGGAGCTGGACGAGGGACTTGATCCTGGACCCCGGGATCATGCCCTGAGCCGAAGGCAGACACTCAACCACTGGGTCACCCAGGCGTCCCGGCAGGGTCCTTGTTAAAAAAAATCAAGAATTCTGAAATGGCAACAGCAGATTATTAAACCAAGTTGGGGACTCTCCTGAGCCTTGGGCCTTGAGTGGTTACTCAGGTCACAAGTCATGAACCTGGCCCCTGGTTGCTGGGTTCTCAAAGTGCAGGACCCCCTTTGGTGTGCAGGAAGTGCTTGAAGTGGATTATTACAATGTGTACTGATTAACCATGGGAAGCCCGAAGAATACTCACTTCTTTTTCCGATGAATGGCTGTGTATATCACGCTACCAACAAACAGAACTGCAAGAAATCCTGTGACACTCGCGAGACCCAACGCTGTCTTTTGGAGAGCCAATGTCCTCTGTGTCTCTGCTCCTGATAAAATATCAGGTGGTTTTTATTTTTTTAAATTTTTATTTATTTATGATAGTCACACACACACACACACACACACACACAGAGGGAGAGAGAGAGAGAGGCGCAGAGACATAGGCAGAGAGAGAAGCAGGCTCCATGCACCGGGAGCCCGAAGTGGGATTCGATCCTGGGTCTCCAGGATCACGCCCTGGGCCAAAGGCAGGCGCTAAACTGCTGTGCCACCCAGGGATCCCCTATCAGGTGGTTTTTAATCGTCACATTATTAAGAGGCTGTTCTGGATGCTCCTGGGTCCCTGCGAAGTTTTCAATCCAGGCTCTGGTGAATATTAATTAAGGAAATGAAATGTACATTTAACCCAAGAAAGTGCTCATTGTAGAGAAACCTTGTAGGGCAAGTCATTGAAAGCCGATTTACTAAATGACCTATTCGCCAAATGACCCATTTTCCTAATGACCACTTTGCCGAGTGACCAATTTGCTAAAGGCCAATTTGCTGAAAATCAGTTGGTGGGACATCCTGCTTATTGGTAACTGGAGACAGTCAAAAACCTTACACCAGGCTCCCAATGGGCTATGGGACAGGGGCAGGGGCCAAACAGTTGTAGCAGAACTCTAAAACTTAAAAAAGATAGTTTGGTGAATTGGTCATTTAATTAATTTCCTATAAAATGGCCTGCTTCCTGTAAGTTCACAAGAATATCGTGGGCAAGGGCACCTGTGTGGCTCAATGAGTTAAACATCTGCCCTCTTCTTAGGTCACCATCCCAGGATCCTGGGATTGAGCACCATGTTAGGCTCCCTGCTCAGCACCTGCTTCTCCCTCTCCCTCTGCTCTTCCCCCTGCTTGTGCTCTCTCTCTCTGTCAAGTAAATAAGAATAAAATATTTTAAAAAATATTATTTATTTATTTATTCATTCATCAGAGACAGAGAGAGAGAGAGGCAGAGACAGGCAGAGGGAGAAGCAGGCTCAATGCAGGGAGCCTAACTGGGACTTGATCCTGGATCTCCAGGATCACACCCTGGGCTGAAGGTGGCGCTAAACCGCTGAGCCACCCAGGCTGCCCAAATAAGAATAAAATCGTAAAAAAAAAAAAAAAAAAAAAAAAAAAGAAAGGAGGACCGTGGGCAAGGCTTAGAAGAAGGGAAAATGTTGTCCTTTGTTTTAATTGAGCATAGTTGTTTTAAGTATAATAAATCACCGGGCACTTTCTAAGTCTCTCACTGCAGAAAAAAAGCTGGCCAGTGTTTGCAAACAACTGAATTCTCAGAGATGATTCCATTCTTCCTTTATATCACCCAGGTTTAAGATTTTGAATTCTTAAGAATTAGCAACCTTATTTACAGGAACCACCTCCTTCTCCCTTTTTTCAGCAGTGAGTGGAATGGTAAAGCTTCATTCCTCCCTCCCCTGTGAGCAGCTTTCTTCCAGGCACCAGCAAGGACTGAGCTGCTGAAGGAAGTCTGCATTTCTGTATTTAGAAGGGGCATCAGGAGGCGACTGCATGTGATTTCTGAGGCTCAGAAGGATTATTGCTTGACTTTTTCTATGGAGAGCCTTCCTTTTGCCCCAGAGGCATTATATGAAATGCTACCAACATGTGGAGGGATTCCCTACTTCCTCTGCTATCTGTTTAGAGCTGCTGCTGTCTTGCACTGGGGGTGCCAAAGCTGCCAGGGAAACAGGATTTTTCTGCTTGATTCTGTCACCAACCTCCCCCTCCTCCCCTCCAACCTATTTTTGATTCTTTTCTCAGGACAGAACAGACCACACTATCAATTTTCCGGTGGTTGTTTTTGTATCTCACCTGGCTGCTGGTCATATGAGTCCACAAGCATTTCCTGAGTGACTGCCAGGGAGCCATTGTGGGGCTCTGGGGTAACCCCCAGGAGCTTACACATGAGTGGGTAGATGTGGATGCTGTCAAAAGGCTCAGCTAGGTGATTCTTCTTGAAATCTGGCCCAAAAGCTCTGAATATGGTCTTCATGTCCATGAGGACATTATCAAAGCCATGATCTCCTTTGTTGAAATATATTATAAGTTGCTGAAAAATAACAAAAAACCATTTTAGATTCCAATCCCCTGAAAGAAAACTGTCCCTTAGTTATTGCCATGCTTGTCAGATCCATGAAATCTTTGAAAATCTAAATAAGGAAGGAAGGACTCTGCTCTGTAGTGCCACAGAGAAGAACAGGAATGAAAGATCTTTAAGAAAGAGAATAAAGAAAGCATACCCATTCTAAGCAAACACAGCAAGAATACTGACAATAATAATAAGCTCAAACATAGTGCCTCTGGTGATGGCCTCATGTGCTTTGCAAGATCCTCAATCATGAAGAGAGAAAAGTAACACCTGTAACCCCTACTTCACTGTGCCCACCAAAGCAAGCAGGTGGATGGGGATCCGAGAAGTAGACTCAGTGAGAGGAAATAAGACTCGAAGGATTTTCTGCCTAATGATCAGTTCAGAAGGTTCCCTACTCCCTCAAACCTGGTTGGTTATGTTGGGAATGTGACTATTCATTAAATTCCTTCACATCACTCTCAACTTGTTATATCATGAAGGTTTACAAAGAGGCCAGTGACTGTGGGATCTCTCCTTGGCAAGACCTTAGCTTTGGGCATACATCCTCAGTATCCTGGGCCGTGTGAGGGATTGCAAACTATCAATAAATTGTTGCATTTTGCTGTGACTATTTCCATCAATGTTAAACAATAACCTTATGAGTTTTCCCATACCTATTATACTCTGAACTTGTAGCAATACAAGAGTATGCAGATTGCAAACATCATTATAATGTTCAGCTCCTGTCCATAGTCTAGGATGAGCGTTCTTCAAGCTATACCTGGGATGGTCTTCTGTCATGTGATGTTTAGATACCACCTAAACTTTGTTCTGCCATGAATTATTGGTTGGTAGTTTACAAAAAACAGACCACCTCATTTATGCCTCACAATTAGCTTTGATTTTGGTATTTTCTTCTTTAGATTTGCTTATTATTATTTTTTTAAGATTTGCTTATTTTTTCATAACAGCTTTGTTGAGATATAATATGTATACCATACAATATACTCATTTAAAATGTACTACTCTGATTTTTAAAATTTTGAGAGCTGTGCAGCTATCACTACAATCAATTTTATTTTATTTTTTTACAATCAATTTTAGAACATTTCATCACCCCCCAAAGAAACTCTGTACCCTTCAGCAGTCACTCCCCATTTTCCCCTGACATCTCTCACCTGCTCTAGACAACCACCAATCTGTGTTCTGTCTCTATAGATTTGCCTATTCTAAACATTTCATTTAAATAGAATCATACAATATGTAGTTCTTTGTATCTAATTTCTTTCAGTGATCATAGTGTTCTCAAGGTTCATTCAAGTTGTAGCATGTATCAGTACTTTGTTCCTTTTAATGGCAACATAATATTCCATCATATGGATATACTATATTGCGCTTATCCATTTATCAATTGATGGGCAGTTGGATTGTTTTAATTTTTTGGTTATTATGAATAATGCTTCTGTGAGCATTTGTGTATAATTTTGTTTGTGAACAGGTTTGCTTAGTATTATTATCATTATTATTTTTGATATGTGCAAAGGGCAACCAGCAGGTGTTTTTTTGTGTGTTTTTTTTTGTTGTTTTTTTTTTTTTTTTTGTGTGTGTGTGTGTGTGTGTGAATTTACTGGTGATCTGTGCATAACGATCAAGCACACAGGCTTGGGTTCAAACCTCAGGCTTATACTTCTAATCCCAAGTCACTTCTCTCTAGCTTTGGTTTATTCCTCATTAAAATGGGGGAGATAAGAGTATCTATCTTTAGGGTTGTTGGGAAAACGAAAATGAAATAACTCATGTTAAAATTTTAGTACAGGGCTGGACAGAGCCTTGATCAGGGAGGGATGTTTGTCATTATTATTACATAGTGGTAACATGGGAAGGGTTGGTTGGGTGGGATATGGGGTTGGGGGTGGGAAACACTTAGGAAATAGTGGGTTACCGCTTATATTTTAGTTTTTTTTTCAGAACTCTTTCTCTCTAGAGGCTGTCTCCCAGACCCAAGATGACTTTATTCATTTTAGAATCAACTCACCCCATTGATGTTATAACCAGAGTCGGCATACATCAAGATTGGCAGGACCCGCTTGTGTTTGGCAAAATGGAAGCGTTCTGGGAATTCCTCCTTCTTGTATACATTGAGGTGAGGGTGTGCATTCTTCAGCGCTTGGTAAAGAGCTTCCTCTTGCCCTGGTTTGGGCAGGAGCATCCCAAAGCCACCATAGTCCACGATATCAAACTTGACTGAGTCGTTGAACTTGATGTAGTCAGTCAAGAGGATCTCAGTGACATTGGGTTTCTTTTTTACAGTAGTCATGCCATGGTCTGATGTGATGATGACATTGAGGTGGTTGGTCAAGCTGTGCCTCTCAATGGCTTCCACCAGGTACCCAATAGTTCTGTCGATTTGCTGAATAATCACCCGTCTGTTCTCTGTCTCAGGCCCAAATTTGTGTCCCACGTTATCTGGCTCTCCATAGTACAGAGTAACAAAGTCAAAGTCTTCCTTGGTGAACCAGTTCATGACAATATCAATGTTCTCCCTCCACTCTGTCTCGTTGCTATCTGGGTGAGTATAAGACTCCACCAGGGACCGCTGAACAGCCTCCCCTTTGTACTTTGCACCTCCCCCAGGATAGTGGAGTGATGCTGTCTTCCTCCCCTGTAAGCACAGGAAGAAAATTCTATCAGGGCTGTTTTTTATATCTTTGTCATAATAGGCAAAGCTTAAGTTGTTGATGTCCCTGCCCTAGTCCAAAGGCATAGAGAACACGTGAGCTTTGGAGTCAGATGGGGTTGGACTTCATTCCTGGCTTCACCAGGATCTCATCAAATCTATAACACTGTTGTTGCAAGACATGCTATTATTTTATGTGCTCTTAGAAGAAAAATGCTGCCTGTTTTTTAAAAAAAAATATTTGATTTATTTATGATAGACATAGAGAGAGAGGCAGAGACACAGGCAGAGGGAGAGACAGGCTCCATGCCGGGAGCCCGATGTGGGACTCGATCCCGGGTCTCCAGGATCACGCCCTGGGCCAAAGACAGGCGCTAAACCGCTGAGCCCCCCAGGGATCCCCAAAATGCTGCCTGTTAATCCACAACACTCCACTGATTGTAAGATGCACTCCAACTTTAGAGATGGTAAAATGAAAAAAAAAAGTGCCTTGGAATGGAGGAAAAATGATACTTTCTATGTTGGTGATGGTGAGTGAGTTCTTTAATATCTTATGGTTCAGTGTTTCTACATATAAAATGCCAAAAAGTTGATTGTATTTTTGTGAGGATTAAGCCAGATAACTTTAAGATGAAGTGTTGGGATTGTGTTTTGGCATGTGGTAGACACTCTTTTCTTTGCCTCCAGGTCTAGCAAACCACCACAAAGCCTTCCCCAAATTGTGTAGAGGATAGTTAATATGTTTGCCTGCCCAGCACCCATTCCACCTCTGCTGGTTTAGAGAACCCTCACTTCCCTTAGAGACTCTGCCCTTGCTTCTGGCTGGTTTGGGATGTGTGGATTTCACATCAGGCTCCAGAGGTGGTATGTGATTGTGGCAGAGGGTATTGCATCCACTGAACACAGCAACTGGTTCAGCCCTGGGCCCATGTCTCAGTCAGAGCCAATGAAATTTGATCTTGGGACTTCTGAGTAGGAGGAGAAAGGGCCAGAGGAAGGCTTTGGACCAAAAGTGGAGTTGTTTTTAACAACATACATGATTGCAAAGTCATGAAAATATTCTTCAGTGATCCACTTCAGCAGAAAGGTGGCTGTTGACAAAGCTTGGTAAAATTGTTAGGAAAAAGAATTATATATGCTCACCAATGAGTTAACAATGAGATGGACACATCTCACTAAATAAGTCCTGTTGTAAAGGAGCTCCTCCACCAGGACATGCACATAGTGGGGGCTCAATGGATTTTTGGTTTAGTGAATGAATGACCTCATTTGGGGAGCAAGTACTTTGTTTTGTCTTAGCAAAGCTATTAACTTGAAGAATGTACTGTGACACTTCCTGTATCAGCCAAGATTTTGATGTTCTGAAAAACTCAAAAGTTCATTGGTTTTAGGAGAACCAAGGATGATGGTGGCGTCAGTGGGTTGATTTGGAATGGAGAATAAATGACCAGGAATAATTTTGGGATAATGGCACCTGGGTTGTGGCTAATTGGTCAACAAACGAGCAGAAAAGTATGACCAAGAGTAATGACAGAACTTCCAATGTACTGAGAGAGAGAGAGAGAGAGAGAGAGAAGCAGGAAAGCAATTTGGAAGTTGTAGGGGATACTGTTGGCTTTCTACTCAGATCCTCTTACAGGACCATTGTGCTCACATTCACTTCAGCTGCTCCACATTCCAGAAAATTACCTTCAGACTTTCAGCCAAGTGACCAAATCTTGCTTCACCTGGGAAGGTGTTCTATAATGCTCCTTCACTCCTAGCTGCCCATGGCCAGTGATTGTTGGGAGGACAAAAGACCAGCTTCCTTGCCTCAGGTTGGGATACCATGGAGGTGCAATTCATGCTCCAAGGTCTTTGTGGATTAGGCTGAAGCTGGTCTCTAAATGTGATCACATCTCACTTACCTTCTGCCCTTTCAGTTTCCCTCACTCCTATCTCCTGAGAACTCTCCCTCAATGCCTTACATGTACCAAATCCCTGCCATGGGCTCTACTTTTAGGAAACTTGAAATAAGACAGAAGTGTTTTATTTTAAAAAGATTTTATTTATTAATTGATGAGACACACAGAGAGAGGCAGAGGCATAGGCAGGGGGAGAAGCAGGTTATCTGCAGGGAGCCTGAGGTGGGACTCCATCCCAGGACCTTGGGATCATGACCTGAGCCAAAAGTAAATGCTCAACCACCGAGCCACCCAGGCATCCCAAGACAGAAGTCTTAATACTAAATACTGTGCAAGGCCCAGAAGCTCTGCTATTTATAGCTATAGGTGAAATATTGTATCCTCTGCCCTCCAGCATTCATTTTCTATCATGTGATTTAGTTTTATTTTCTCTAAAGCACTTTACCCAATCTGAAATTATCTTAATATGTTTCTTGTTTACTGTCTATTTCCCTCTCTCAGAATGTGAGTTCCATGAGATCAGGGACCATGTTGATTTTATTGACTGCTCTTTTCCTGGGACCCAGAAGAGGCCTGGCTTACAGTAGGTGGTAATTGTTGGTTAAATACATGTTGAATGAATGCATGAATTGCATCTGCTTTTATGGGTGCAAAACCCATCCTATTCTCACTCCTGATTAACTTATGGAAATAGTTACAGAAGCTCTTTCTTTTTTGGGTTCTAGCATCTTATTTGTAATCTCTTCAGGCAACACATTTTCATTTCTGATAATAGAATTTCTATGGTTGCTTTAACTTGCAAATCCTCTAATATTTATTTATTGCATTTCTGATTGGCATTACTCATAATTCTCAGTTTTTAGTGATGGTACTTTGTTTAACTTACATATAAATTGACTTTGCTCTGAAGTATGGAATTGGCTGGAAGGATAAAACTTTCAACATTTTGTAGAACATAGTTTGACTGGCTGTTTTATTATCTAGAATAAACTGACATTAACATTATGAGGGACTTAGGCAGCTCTACATATCCGGTTGACTTCTTGATGTTTCCATGTTAAATCTCAGGTGTTCCCAACTTGAAATTGTTTTCTTGTGCTGTATTCTCAATGCACACCTTCTTTTTTTAATATTTTATTTATTTATTCATGAGACAGGCAGAGACAGGTAGAAGCAGGCTCCATGCAGGGAGCCTGATGTGAGACTCGATCCCAGGACCATGGGATCACTCCCTGAGCTGAAGGCAGATGCTCAACCGCTGAGCCACCCAGGCGTCCCACAACGCACACCTTCTTTAAAGATATCTCAAGCTGTAGCCTTAGGAAACTATGATTTTGTTTTTCATTTTGTCCTATAGGGATTTTAAGAGTTATACTGCTCCATGGAAGAAGCTACAGAGAGAAATGCATGTTTGAGTGTGTGTACACACACACACTCACACAACTCTGCTTATTTGGGACCCGTGATAATCAAAAGTGCTATTTTCAACAAATACTTCTGAGAAATAATCTGAGCACTTAATAGGATGCAAAAGAGTGGGTATTTACTATTCTACCCTTTAATTAGCATAATCAGTGTTTCCAGTAGCAATAGCAATTGGAAAATCGCTGGTTTTATTAGGTTCATTATTCTTCCTTAGTGTAGTGTTGCATCAATATGGCTATTACTCTTAAGTTGCTTTTTTAAAACGAGAGTTGGTACTTCCTATGGGCAAAATCCTTGGGTTTTGAACAGAGTCCACCAAACTTCTCAGAACTAATAATTAGAACAGAAGTTTCAGTTTGATTTTGCATTTTGTCTTGTCTTCCTTTAGGATAGAGTGAAAGTCACAAGGTGAACTTGTTTTAGGAAGGCCCTTGAACATATTTCTTTCTTTCTTTTTTTTTTTCCTTGAACATATTTCATCATGGTTGTGCTTTGGTGGGAAGTATGTGTGGTTTAGGGAAAGGAGTTAGTTTCTCCTTTTAGGAAGTGATTGAGTGGAAAGAGATGGACTCCATGTATGTGAAATTCAGAAGTCAAGGTTGATTCTGAGTGTTTTCATTGCTTTTCTGTGCTCCAGAGGAGTCACTGAACGGAAGGAGACAGGTGGCCAAGATTCTATTTTTCTCCCCTTCCACACCCTTTTGGAGGTCAGATTATTATTCTTAGAGCCTTTTGATGCATAATAAAGACATGCTTTGGGTCAATATTGGGATGAATTATCTTGTTATTAATGCTCTAGGCAAAAGCAGCTGGCATCATCTTGCTCACAGCTCTTCCAAGTCTAGGAGACCTGGCTTACAGTGATAGCTGTAGCTGCCCTCCCCACCCTTTCTCCAAATCCCCTTTTGGTTGTAGCCTACAATGGTCCTGATAGAGACTCTTGGCAGCCATGGGGATGTCACTCAGAACATTCCCTTCCATTTCACTCCTTACTATGCTCTATAGGTCTTCCATAGAGAGGTAAAACATGGTCCTAGGTTTTAATGGTTTTCCTGGGCCTTTTTTTTTTAAAAGATTTTATTTATTTATTCATGACAGATACAGAGAGAGAGAGAGAGAGAGAGAGAGAGGCAGAGACACAGGCAGAGGGAGAAGCAGGCTCCATGCAGGGAGCTTGACGTGAGACTCGATCCCCGGTGTCCAGGATCACACCCTGGGCTGAAGGTGGCGCTAAACTGCGAGCCACTGGGGCTACCCTGGTTTTCCTGGGTCTTTAAGTCATGGGTGCCTGCCTTTCTCTGAGGATTAGGACTTCTGAACTTGGTGAACCACTTTCAGTCATTAGTCATGTTCAGTTACCAGGCATGCTCATTTAAAATCCAAGCTTTCTCTAAATGGAGCATCTTTTTTTATACCCTGTCCATTAGTGAAGTCTTTCTGGAGTCTGGATATATTCCTAGGCTGTGAATTATGGAAACAAATGTGGCCAGGAATCCTATTTTTTAGGCATCATCCATAAGGCATGTCAATTCTTATGTATCTTGATGGACTCTGGAAGCATTAGTGTCATGGAAGGATAACATTTTAGTCCTATTAAAGGTGAATGCCTCAATCTCCACCAAGCCTGCCTGGAAGAGACTCAGGAGAAGGATGGATTTTCCCAGTGATGCATACAAGTCAGGCCACTCCCCTAATAGATGGGCTCCTGAATAACCTTTAAGGCAGTTGGTATGCTGTTACTGGGAGGCTGACCTGGGGCCATAGGTTTACTCTGATTGAGGCAGCTTTCCTGGCAACTCCTCAAGGAGCTGGCCAATGGCCCTGTCCCATGGCAGGATGTCAATGGTAGAATGAGATACACCAGCTTGACTTTCACTTGCCAAACACATGGCATGTTGTCAGTCACCTGGCCCTGCACCAGATCCTGTTTTTGCACAACCACTTATGAATTCAGCAAAGAGGAAGAACACTCTGAGTATGAATTGAGCAGAAGGAAACAAAGTCCTAAAAACAAGTGGCAATGAGACAAGAACCATGAATAAGAAAAACTACAGGAAAGAATGCTTCCAGAAGCCTCATATCAATGAATAAATACCATACCAAGAGACTAGGGAGGTCCTGGGTTTTGAACAGTGAATTAATGAAGACTGCCCACACCTCCCTAGCAGCAAGACAAATACATGATTCACTATGAAATCCACGGCTAAATGTATTAGCCAAAGAAGTAATATTATGTTATGGTTAAGAGTTAAGAGTTGCTGAACCCAGAATGAATTCAAATCTCAGCTTTGCCTTTTGATAGCTTTGTGACTTTGAGAAGTTATGGCAGTGCTCTCGGCTTCAGTTTACTTCCCTGTTAAATGGGCATAGTCAAAGCACCTACCTAAGAACTGTTATAAATTAATAAATGTAAAGCACTTAAGTCAGTACTAGGCACATATAGTAATGTTATGAATGCTATTTTTTTTTGGGGGGGGACAGGATTAATTTGCATGATCTCTGCCTCAAAGTTAAAAAAATGTGACAGAGGGGCACCTGCAAGGCTCAGTGGTTGACCTATGCCTTTGGCTCAGGTCGTGATTCTGGGGTCCTGAGATTGAGTCCTGCTTTGGACTCCCTGCATGGAACCTGCTTCTCCCTCTGCCTGTGTCTCTGCCTCTCTTTCTGTGTCTCTCATGAATAAATAAATAAAATCTTTAAAAAAAAAGTGGCAGAAGAGGAAAGAGTCTAGAGCCTGACAGGGGAAAGATGGAGCTGAGGTAGACTCATTGACAATCCCCTATGATTCTCTGAGAGCTAATTTGCCCAATATTGTAGTCTTTAACCACATGTGGTATTTAGATTTAAGTTGAAATTAATAAAAATTAAATGCAATTAAAATTTTGGTTCTTCAGTCTCATTAGTCACATTTCAAGGGCTCAATAATCCTATGTGGCTGGTGGCTTCCATGTTGGACAGTGTGCAGTAGAACATGTCCATCATCAAAGAAAGTTCTATCAGATGGTTCTAGCTTAGAGCTGTAGTGACCAGCTGAAGCGCTATAATGATTCAGCCTCCTTTAATGACTAGGAATTTTTGAACATTTTGTTTTCAGCATGTTATATACATTATCTCAGTTAACCTTCCCAATGGGCTTAAGAAGCAGGGACTCTGATAATCTTTATTTTATGGGTGGGGCAAATCAAGCACAGAAAAGAGGTTTTTGCCCAAGGTCACACAGGTGGACAAGGGTGGAGCTGGCCAGATTCTGCTCTGGGAGTCTAAGTCCACAACCTGCATTCTGAGCTGCAACAGCACTACCTTGCTGCATGACACGCCCGTGTATGTTGGAGCACAGAGATGAAGTGCCAGTGAAAACGGGACCTTTGGAGCAAAGGTTAGTATCTTGGGGAAGACGAGGAGGTTCTACTCTGAAGTGATGATTGTGGAAGCTGATTAAGAAAACACGAAGCTGTCAGATTTGGGACTGGGACTTAAACATGCAGCTCTGATGTCTGCCTTTTTGAAGCAATAATAAATGGCCACTGGAATCCTTTCAAGTGAATGTTCTCAGAGTTTTTCATGGTCTGAAGATTCATTAAATGGTCAACTTCATTATTAAGGGCTTTTATGCTTAAGTCTGAGGCCAGTGTATAAACAGTTATTTCTGAAAGAGCTGCTGAATTCAGACCCTAGTACAATCATGGTTAAGCTAGACTCTGCCCTCAAAGAGACTCACCCGTCGATAATGGCTAAATGCATATTTCATTTAATACTTACATCAAATCTATTAAATAAGTACATCATCGTTATTCCCATTAAACATTTAGGGTAACATGTTTAGAGAAGTTAAGTCACTTTCTCAAGATCACAGCTTCTAACCCCCGTCCCACATGCATAGGAATGAGAAGCAGTGTCCCTGGAAGTCAAACCAGGGTTTCTGATAGTACCTGTCTCTGGGCTGTGATCCAGAGGGGGAGAACACCATTGTCCCACCACTCAGTCTTCTTTTGTGTAGTCTTGAAGGAGTACTTCCAGCGTGTCTCTGTGTTAAACATCATGTTGTGAATCACACCGTGATCTTCAATCCAGCGACCTTGGGAATGAAAGAGGGAAGGTGCTGGTAAGTTCTATGAATGGATACTGCCAGGGGTATCAAATTGATCTTAAGATCTCCCCCAACATCCTTCTGGTTGGCCTACTTCTTCTGGGGGATTGGTGCTCTGGGTGGCTGCCCTGGAGCTTCAGACTTGGTTTTCTGGAGGTGCAAATGTTGGTGGCCATAAAGGAAGGGCTAATTGCATCTCACAACTGCCAGATTGGATCTACTCCCTGGAACAGACCTCACAGTCCTGGAGGAAGCTGGTATTGACTGTGGAGCCTGATGTGGGAGGGAAGGCAGGGCATGGGGAGGCCAGGTTACTTGGGTTATTCTGTGTCCAGAAGGTAAGAGCCTGGAATTTGGATATTTCCTATGGAATGATTTTCCTTGTCTTCTGCTGGCAATGATCTGATTCAATATTGAATATCCAGTGGGCCCAATTCTTGGGAAACATCACAGGGATTTTCCTAGGACTCCCATGCTGTTTGAGGAAAACAATGGAATTAGGAAGGATTTCTGACATAGTTAGGTATAGACCTTTTTCTCTCTCCTTAGAGAGGGAAGGCAGATATTGAGGAATGTGATTAAGCTAGATTATTCTTGAAAACATAAGAATGAACCAGATATAGAAAAAACCTGTAACCTTACATTGTACCAAGGAAAAGGGGGTCAGTCTAAAGAGTGAACCAAAAGATTCATGGGGATAGCAGAGTCTACTTCCTTACCTGCTGGGACAGAATCCTCTGGGTAACCCTAGTGATTGTAATAAGATAGTGATGATTTCTCCTATTTCCCAGTTAAATCAAGGCAGGACATTTTGTGACTAGAACTTGATAGTCATGGAAACTGAGAAGGGAAAGCTCTTCATTGGCTCAGTCATTGCCAGGCTGCTGGTGGGTAAAGTCCCCTTAGGATGGCCAAAGCTCTCAGCTGGGAAGAAGCAAAAACCATTGTTTTATTGTTTCTGCCTTGTAGGTAGACCACACTTAGGGGCACTGAAAGAAGTTGTGCTTCTGTCAGGGATTAGGGCTTTGGGGTCAAGATCCCTGATCAGGAATAAAATTGGATGGTCAACAGTGGAAAAGCATGGACCTAGAGTCCAAGAGAGCTGGATGCCAACCATGACTTGGCTTTTGAACTTGCTGTGTGAACTTAAACAAGCCCCTAACCTGCCTGGCCTCGGTTGCCTGAATACTAGCATATAGGGTTTGTGTGATGAAATCATGGCACATATTTACCACCATGTCATAAGCTAAGATGTAGGGACATAAACTCATCTAATGCTCCCAACAACCCTGCAAGGTGGCTACTATAATAGCCCCTCCTTTAGAGAGTTCTCCCTTTAAGGAAACAGGCACAGAGTTTGCTCAAAATCATGTAGCAGAACTGGGCTTTGAATCCAGGAGGCTTGGCTACAGCCCATACTTTTTTTTTTTTAATAGGTAAAATCCACATAAATAAAATTAACCATTAACATTTTATTTTTTAAAGAATTATTTATTTATTTGACAGAAAGAAAAAGAGAGAGAGAGAGCACAAGCAGGGGGAACAGCAGAGGGAGAGAGAGAAAAACAGGCTCCCCACTGAGCAGGGAGACCAATGCAAGGCTCTATATTAGGACCCTGGGATCATGTCCTGAGCTGAAGGCAGACACTTAACTAACTGAGCCACCCAGGCATCCCAGCTATTAACATTTTAAGTGCACAATTCAGTATCATTTAGTATAGTCACAATGTCGTGCAATAATAATCTCATTCTTTTTTTTTTTTAAGATTTTACTTATTTATTCATGAGAGACACACACAGAGAGAGGCAGAGACATAGGCAGGGGGAGAAGCGGGATGCGGGACTCAATCCCAGGACTCCAGGATAATGCCCTGAGCCAAAGGCAGATGCTCAACCTCTGAGCCACCCAGGCATCCCTAATCATCTCTTTCTAGTTCCAAGGCATGTTCATCACCTTACACAGAAACTACGCATTAGCAGTCACTCTCCAGTCCTCCATTCCCCCAACCCCTATTGACCACTAATCTGCTTCTGTCTCTATAGATTTACCTGCTCTGGACATTTCATAGACATGAAAGCTCACAATATATGACCTTTTGTGTCTAGTTTCTTTTACTTAGCTTCATATTTTCTAGGTTCATCTATGTTGTAACGTATATCTGTACTTCATTCCTTTTTTTTAAGATTTTATTTATTCATGAGAGACACACACACAGAGAGAGAGAGAGACAGAGACACACAGGCAGAGGGAGAAGCAGGCTCCATGCAGGGAGCCTGACGTGGGACTCAATCCCTGGTCTCCAGGATCACTCCCTGGGCTGAAGCCGGTGCTAAACCGCTGAGCCACCCAGGCTGCCCTGTACTGCATTCCTTCTTATGGCTGAATAATATTCCATTGTATGAATAGACCAGAATTTGCTTATGCATCCATCATTGATGCACATTTAGGTTGTTTCTGGGTTGTTTGGCTATTGTGACTAATGCTGTTATGAGCATTCATATATAAGTATCTGGTTTCAATTCTTTTGGGTATATATCTCAGAATAGAATTGCTGGGGTTACATGGTGACTCTATGTTTTGAAGAGCTACCAGACTATTTTCCATAGTGGTTGTGCCATTTTACATTCCCACCAACAGTGTCTAGCAGTTCCAGTTTCTCTACGTCCTCATCAACACTTGTTATCTTCCTGTTTTTGGTTATGGCCAACCTAGTGGATGTGCAATGGTATCTCATTGGGTTTGATGTGCATTTCCTGAATGACTGGTGGTGTTGAGCATTGCAGTCTGGGCTCTTAATCCCTCTGCTATACCGTTTGTCAGGAGTGGGGTGAAACACCACAGGTGAGAGTACTTTGTTATGGGTAGGTGGGGCCCAAGTAGGCAAGAACTTTTAAAGCCTCGGGAATGAGTAATGGAAGCCTTTTGAAATCTACGATAAATTGTCTCCTTGTTATAGTGTCCAAGCTTTCTCATGGCTGAGCTGTGCCATATCACAGCAGATGAAATGGAAGCACAGGGTCAAATCATCTAGGGAATAGCTTGCTTTTGCCTTTTTTTTTTTTTAACTTGTAAATCCTGGATTCTGTTCTAGGTGACTCTTCCTGCCCAGTAAAGAGCAAATCACCCTAAAGTGACAAACATCTGTCATTTCACCTAGTCTAGTATTTATCCAATGGTATTTTATACTGCCAACATTAGAATCAATTGAACTACTTGTTAAAAATCACAAATTCCCTGGTCTCCTTCTAGGCCTTGCTGAATTCACACCTCTTGGGTGGGGTCTGGGAACTTGCATTTTGACAAGCTCTCCAGGTGGTTCTAGTGCCCACTGACATGTCAGACCACTGGTTCAGGGGCTATTAGCCATTCACATATGGATGTGGATTAGTTATAGCAGACTGCCCATTACTCCAAAATCTGGGTTGATAGCAGCTCCTCTGAGTGACCAAAGGGAGAGCAGGTAGCCATCAAAACCTGGAGTACTTCAGTATCTGGGGAAGCTTGGGTGCCCAAAGCCACTGGGGGATTTGGAGGAGGGATTGAAAGAAGCAGAGGATGCCACAGGCACAGAAACTTCTCCCTCTTAATAATTCTGTCTTCCAGGCTCTGGGACCCAGAGGTCAATTATGATATTAGTTAAATAGACTACTCTGGGAACCAATAATAGAATCCATTTTTTCCCTCAAAGAGATGTCACCCAAGTTTCAAACACCTAACCTAAAATGAGTTCAGGAAGTATGACCCTTCTATTCTGTGGCATGGCTAGTCCCAGTAATTGCACAAAGGGAACTGTCTCCATGGTGTTTGGGTTATTTCCACTCTGACACTTAAAAGGCATGTTCTAAATCCAGCCAGCAGCTGGGACCAGCAATGACCCAGAAGACATTTCACTGCCCCTTGGTTCCTCCTTCCTACTGCTCAAAGCTCTTTATCCTGGTTAAGGGCCAGTTCTGGAATGTGGGCAGAACAAGACAAAGGATGGGAAATGCTAAGAAATGAACAGCTGCAGGGAGCAGCAGTCTTACTAAAATTGCATTTTCAACTCTGGAGAGAGTCAGGGACCGGACTGGAAAAGCTGTGTGAAGGCAACACTGTTGACCGTGCCTGGAGTTCCAGTAGCAGCAAAGGAACTGGTTTCACTTGGGTCAGATGACGCTGTCCTCCCTGCAGTGCAATGGCACAGAGGGGGCTGCTTTCAGAGGTGGGACACCTTAGTTTGGCTCTTCTAAGCACCTGCTCTCTCCCTGGGAATCAGTCTTCCCCTCCATAAAAGGAGAGGGTTGAGGGACGCCTGGGTGGCTCAGCGGTTGAGCATCTGCCTTCCACTGAGGGCGTGATCCTCGGATCTGGGACCGCGTCCCACATGGGCTCCCTGTGGGGAGCCTGCTTCTCCCTCTGCCTATGTCTCTGCCCCCCACCTCTGTATCTCTCATGAATAAATAAATCTTTTTTAAAAATTAGAGAGTTGATGATTTCCAAGGGCCTTTCTGGCTTTATCCATTCTGACAGTCTGTCATCCATGTCATTTACATGTCTGCGATGTGGGCGCAGGTTAAATAGGAAGTAGGATGAGCTCTCCTAGAGAACATGATTCCTGGTGCTTGCTACTTATGCTTTAATCAAGGTATAGGGCAGCCCAGGTGGCTCAGTGGTTTAGCCCTGCCTACAGCCCAGGGTGTGATCCTGGAGACCTGGGTTTGGGTCCCACGTTGGGCTTCCTGCATGGAGCCTGCTTCTCCCTCTGCCTGTGTCTCTGCCTCTCTCTCCCTGTCTCTCATGAATAAATAAATAAAATAAAAAAAATCCGGGTATAATGCCTACTCCCACACCATACCAGTTATGGCAAGGCGCATTCACTCAACTGAGCGTTTCAGGTGTGGGAACCAAGCCAGCTAGATTTGATTCCTTTCTCTTGATTTTCAGAGACCTTTGTTTATATCTCAAACACTTGCAGGGTGAATTTGGGAAACCAAGTCCAGCGTTTGAT